TGTAAATTGTAGTGTGTGTTGGCTTTTCTTTGGAGTATGTTCAGAGTTTAATGAAGGGAATCACTAGGGACTCAGACCAGCAAAATGTAGACCAGTTGTGTTTGTATTTGTGTTTGCAGGACATAAATTAGAGATGCAAAATAAAAAATGAAGTTAGTAATTGACTATGAATGTCCACATACATATAAAGAAATATGTGGGTTATTTAAAAAATTTTCATCTAGGTTGAGCTGTAATGAACAATACAGAAAATAAGGAGACTGCAGATCACAGGTTTTTCAACAAGCGTTTGAGGCTAGCTGTATATTTTGAGCGGTTCATACACTGTGTTTAACAGGTTCCTTGCTCATTAGTTATATTTTAGCAAACAGCGATTTCAGAAAATGTTTTAGTTGCAAGCTACCCTAGAAGTAATTTAATTTGTGCATCTCTTCCTGAATTTGTTAATGTGTGAATCTTAATTTTGGGAATGAAGGGGATCTTAATTTGTTAATGTGTGAGCTTCTGCCTTGTTTTTTAGGATTGGTCTTTTACTGGTAGACATAGGGAAAATGGACAGGGAGAGGCTCGCCTTCTGACTGAGGGGGAAAGAAGAGCTGCACCGTATTCTAGAGTATCTTATGATCCTCTGCTATTTAGTCTTTTTTAATTTACTGGAAACCAAGAGTTCCTTTGTCCAGGATGATTAATCTGTGGCCGCTGCAGACTTTTAAAGTAAAGGTTTGCATCTCTCAAACTTTCTCAATTGGAATTGCAAAAAAAAAAAAAAAAAAAGACCCAGGAAAGTGCAGTACAGTAGTAAAAAGATTTGGTTTTCCACTGAAAAAAAAATTTACCCACATTTGAGCAGCAAATGGTGCAAATTAAAACACAGATACACATGAGTAGAATGAAAATGATTTCCGTGTTTATGTTTATCACCAACATAGTTATTTACAAATAACCCATATGAAAATGTAAAAAAGCATATTACATCTTCACATGCCATCTATATTAACTGAATAAAGCTTAGTGACATTATTTGCAAATCTGTAGTTAATTGTACATAGACATTTTGTGTGTTAAAAAAGAAATGTACATAATTTAAAATAAATTACATTACACAATTTACAAAGTAATATTAACAAAAACTTCTTAGACAGCTGCCTCCTTACTTAAAATGTTAATAAATACTCAGGTAATTAACCAAAAAACATATTTAGGGGATTATAATTTATAGAAAGACATTGCAAATTTAATAAAGTTATATTTTACAATGACAGATACTGATCGCTTCAAATCTTTGTACTAGAAATAGGCAGGAAAAAGCATCAGGAAGGAAATCTTAATGTTTCCTTTGAAAAAATAAACATAGAGTCCTGAAAAATAGTTGGGAAAAGCTCACTGAGGGTTCAAGGTAGGTAATCTAGAAACTATTGTTTAAAAAAAAAAATCTACAAAACACAAGACTGACACCCAGTGATAGTTTAAATAGACTAGAGGTTTTTGATCACTGGAAACATGACTCTCACAAGCTAAATGTCTTCATATAACTGCCATTTTAAGATCTGCCTTGGTAGAAGCACGAAAACATAAAACTACAAAATTAACTCTATCCATTTAGCATTTGTTTTACTCATTTCATAATGTAGACATAACCATTTCTCAGTTTCCCTGCTAGATACAGAATTATATCACACTGGAAAACATCCTTTTTATAAAGAGTCATGTCTGCTGGGCCCACACTCCAGTTTCAGACACCTGAAATCCTGCTCTGCACTCTCAGCCACCTGAGGGCAGGACCAGAAGGGACAGGCAGAAGTTTCAGTTCTCACATCTTAATTAGACCCAGGAAAGATCACTGCCTGACGTGATTCCTCACAGATTTGTTCATGGACTGCTCTCCTTTCAATACCCTCAAGCTTAGAGTGGAAATAGAACAAGAAACATATTTGAATTTGGTAATATTTTTACAATTAGTGAGACCCTGGATCATTTGGGAAGCCTGATCCTTGCAAATCTGTTCAAACCTGGATTCAGCCTAAGAATAGGCTCTTCTTTCTGTAAGTTTTGAAAGGTGCAGGCTTCCCTCGCTGTCTTGTAGACTAGCACGTGAACAAAGGCACGAGGGGAAGATTGGTGGAGGGGGATAGTACTGGGTAGGACTAAATCTAAGGTAGGAATTGACATTTTTACAGAAAACGTCTATTTTTTTTTTTTGGCATGTCCTCCACAGCTTTTCTTTTTTACTCATGTCTTTGACCAGTACATTCTGTTTACATCAACCTGTTCACACTCTAAATGACACTTTGACTCCAATAGGAAAGACATACAGGTATTCACTGCTTTTTTTTTCTTATTAAAAATGTAGGCATGTTTAGCAGAAGGTGGTTCTGAGGGAAGCAGACAAGATTAGTTGTAGATAAGAGAGCAGAGTAGACAGAGACCAGGCACTGAACATCATCATAAAGGAGAAGGATATACAGGGAGTTAGAGGAGGTTAAAATAAAAATTGAGAGGTGTTACTTGCCACTATGACCACTGCCACCTGCCTGAGGGTAGAGGAGCCATATAGCCAAAGCTGCCAGCATGGCCCGAGACATGGACATTACATAAGGAAAAATACTAACCGTGTTGAACACTACATCTGGAGTGAAGGGTGATGTGTGTGTCATTTTCACTCATTAAGCATTTTTCCTTGTTTTGAATGTCTTAGATATATATGTAAACAAAAGCCATTACTAATATTTTACAGTGCCTAGTAGAGTGTCTTACATGTGATAATTCAATAAATATTTGTCTTGTTATAGGTACTTGTGCTTTGTTATAATTAAAAACATGCTTTTATGCACTCCTTTTTAAATTAGCTTTAAGCTACACCAGAGTCCTCAAAAAGGCTTTGAAATAAGGATTGTGGTCAATTTCCTAGATTAGATATTGATGAATGAGCAAACCACCCTCTTTCAAGAGAGATCAGTTATGCCACTTCTGTGTCATTTAAGTGGAAACAGGCCAACAAAATAGCATAATACTGTGTCAGTATTTTTCATTTCTTTTTTTAAAACCAAGCAAACCTTCGTACTTACAGAACAGTAATTCTTAATCTTTGTGGGCTCACAGACCATTTTGGTAAGTCAAAAGTGTCAATAGACAAGTTACTACTACATTGCCCTCCTGAATTCTTCAAATGAACAGGAGGAATAAGGTTTTGATGAAATTCCAGTAAAGTACTTAACTCATTATTGACTCATGCCAGGAACAAAAATAAGGCCATTTTCATGTTATAAACATGAATATAGTAACCTTCATTTGTCCAAAATAGTCAGCTATCTACATTCTCCTCTTTGTACCTTTCTAACAAGAGGCCATCCAGTATTTATTTATCCTAATGAGGAACTTCCAGTATGCTCCCTAGTGTTAGATCACATTGAACCTAGCGTCCTTCATATCTGTAAAAGGTAATCAATTTATGAATAAAATCATCTTGTATTTTCATGACATTTTATAATGTTGATCTATTCATTTAATTTTAACAATATAGGTAGGATGATACTGATCTACTTTCTGAATTAATGACTTTTAAATGATCGTAAGTATAGCATTAGTAGCAACAATATTTTATTCTAGTCAACAATTTCAAGGGTATTGGGTATGGCATGCATTTCATAAGACTGTCAGCGAAACTCTTTAAGTAACTGCAACGGACTATTTCTCAACCATTGTGGACAAATGGAGTTCATTTTATTCAAAGAGATCAACTTGAGGATTATCTGGAAGACCCCTGAGTACATATATTGACAATCACAGTTTTAGGGTGACAATATTATTTTTGTCTTCCTCTTTAATAAGACAGATGAAATGGAATTGTTTTTATGCTTTTCCTTGTTCAAATCCTTGGTTTAAGGTAAAATTCTCATTTTCCTGACATCATGTTTGCTTAGAAATGATTTACATGTTGCTTAATACAGTGAATGTTGAATAAGGAATTAGTGCTTACCACATTTAATGCTTATCGAAATATGTAGAAATCTGTTTATTTGAGGGACAACGACATTCCAATCTGTCTTTTGTAATCTTTGCAAATACTCTAGCAAACAGTAGGGGGAGTTCAAACTCTAGTATGAAGGTAAGATACCTTCTAGTCCAAACCACTTGTATAGCAACACAGCTATGTTTAAGACAGAATAGCTTGTGATGCTATTTTTTAAAGACCTGAAAACGTAACGTCCTTCCGTCTCCCAAAGGTTGTCACAATAAATGTTGCCTGAAAAATGGTATCGCTTTTTAATGGCACCTTTTGAATTTTCCTTTCATACGAAAGAAACCAGCCGAGTTAGATATCATTTTACTGTGCCATTCCCAGGGCTATATCTGTGAAAAATATAGCTACTTCCAATACAGTGATAAGTTGAATGACCGTTTTTCATTTCTGAAATTAAACACTGACCGCAGTCTGAGGGTAAATGAATGAAAGCTCAGGATGACACAATGGAGAGTGAGTTAGCACTGAAAAAACTTCTAGACCAGGGACCAGCCAAACCACAACAAATGTGGTCTGCTCACTTCTTTTAAAGGAAGTTTTACTGGAAAACATCCATGCTCATTCTTTTATGTACTGTACTGTGTATTGTCTATGGCTGCGTTCTCACAACGGCAGAATGGAGAAGTTGCAACATAGACCTGGCTGAAAATCTTTACCATCTGACCTTTTACAGAAAAAGTGTGCCACCCTTGGTCTAGATATTTAATGAAGCCCTGGACAAAATATTTATTCTTCTCTTTTAAAAATTCTAGTTTTTGATATCATACATTAAAAAGACTCGCTTCAAATTTTACTGGTGAGAAAGACAAAACAATGGATTTTGAAATACATTCCATCTGAAACTAGGAAAACAAATCAGGGAGAAAGAAAAAATCAACACACAATTTTGATTTCCTTTAGTTACAAAAATCACAAACACATTTTTTTCCATCTGCTCAAAATTAAAAAGACAACCAGCTCCTTTTTTTCTTTTCTTTTCTTTTTTTAACAAAGATAACAAGTATAAAAATCTAGTCATAAACAGCCTTCAAAGTACAATTAAAAACCAACTAGAGGGATCCATCTTTTGGAGGGTTAGTGAGTTCGGGATTTAAACACTTAAATTACCGCCATGTTGTTGATTTCACAATGGCTGCAGTGATGAGGAAGTGTGCAGCAGATGTAATAGCTAATTCCATTCTGTCGCCATCCCAACTGAACTTTACTCTCTTTAGGACACAAGAACTTGTAAATGTCTCCTTGACACTCTGAGCACAGATGTCTTCATCCCATATGAAAAGAGGCAGTTTCTATGGCAATACTGGTTAAGTGCCTATCATGCTGCACTAATATAGTGCAAAAATGTGCCTTCCATATAGCAAAAAAGATGCAGGCAACCAGTTTGAAAATTAGAGAAAGTAGAAACATACTGTATTAACACAAGCAAATTAGTTTTCCAGACAATAACCACTATAAAATACTGAACTTGAGGACTCTTCTAAGGTACTAGTACCTGTCCAGCATTTGTAGTTTGGAGAGAGACAAGAATTAAGTCTTATAAAAGGGTCTTTGCCTCTGAAATGCAGGTCAATGAAACTATCATCAATCACCAGGATGCTGAATTTATTCAGTGGGTTTTCTGCTCAGTTTAGAGTTTATCTTTATTCACCGTTAAAATTGCTTATTAACAAGTACATAATCTGACATAATGTGTATCATCAATTGAGTATACATGTTGTTATGTTTGACTATAGTAGTGTAGAGATCTTGGTATAAACTCTTCATGCGAAAATGTTACTATGGTTAACTGCAGACAGAGGCTTGCATCAGGCATCCTAACTGGCCAATCCCACCACCGTATTTTTAGAGATGAAAGTGAATTATCAGTTGGTAGATTTCAGAAAGATCACATGAAACTCTCAGAATGCAGCATGTATTCAACTATATCTCCTAGAATTCTCAAGGCTGATGGTTTCTATGTAAGTGGTACTGTCTTGATATCTCCAGTGACACTGTGATTTTTCACTCTTAATGATGATCTTTTAAGAAGTTACAATGTATTTTAATCCATACAGTTTGAATAGCTTTGTGACCTCTGGATATCTACAGCAAAGGTAGAAAGCTGAGACTGGTTGTTGCAGGATAAGTTACGTTTACATGTCTGCATCTCCATCGTAGGCTAAGGTTAAAGGTTTCAGTCGGTTGTTTTGCCTTCTTTGGGGTTTCTTTGGCTTTTTGCTGTAAAGAAAAAAAAATCATTAAAATTGGGAGAAAGAAAATATTCAATTGCAATTTTTATTGTTTTAAATGAAAAAACTGGAAACACTGGTAAACCTAAATTGCTTAATTGCCTACACTGCCTAAATTCAACCTTAAAATTTGATTTTCTGGTTTTTTAATTTCTGTTTTATGCTCTGAATAAACTTGAAACAGAACCCTTCAAATATTTTATTATCCTGTAAAAGATGAATTGTTTAAATGGAATTCCTCTAGTACTAACAATGGAAATAATGTTATAGTATAATCATTTATATTTGTCCATAAACTTTTATAAATAACACAATTTATAATTAATAAATGTTTTAAGAGATAGTTGAATTGGGTATTACCATAATATCTTCCTCAGTAGTAATTCAATATAAAAATCTACAGTTCATCATAAGTATACAAAGTAATGTTTGCTTATAGAACCAAGGAGAACACACTTGAGAAGATGACCTGGGGCAGCTCTGGCTCATCTTCAGAAATTAAACGTATCACATTTGGTAGTTTTTAGATTATCTAAGACTAAAGCCATGCTTATTCAGAAATTCAGATGAACACTAATGTGGAATACTTATTTGAGACATTAGATTGCTGTTCTTGGTTATGGCCAGTTGAAAGTGTTTGCTCTGAAATAGAGATCCCCTTAGATTTTGAAATATTTAAACACTCACCAAGCTAGATATATCATGGAGACAATGAAGATGAGTAACACAAATGCCCCAGCTGCTACACCATAAACCCAGGTCTTTAGTCTCCCATCTAAGAAGAATGGATATTAGTCATTAATTTACATTAGTCTGGTATATATATGACAGTCTTTAACCACAACCAATGACCAGTCACATATGACCAAGTCCTTTCAAAACTCAAAATGAATTATTGCTTAGGCATAATTAATGATTAATGCAAAGCTGCTATAGTGAGTTAGATGGTCCTTCATTAAAGATAAATTATCAATGAAAATTGAATTGAAAAGCAATGAAGTTTGAATTCAAGTTCAGATTTCAAGGTAACAGGTCTACATTTCTGCTGCTTATCTGAATTTTCTTTTAAACCCAATATATGTGTAATGCTAATATAAACATTTTCTTCTGATTTTCATTCTATCTTTAGAATGGCAATTGTGAGAAAAGAAGAAAAAATAATGCAATTTCAAGAAAGTCCTACAACTTTGAGTTGATGCTGACAGGTATCTCAATGTAAACTTTGTCATTTAAATATTTTTTCCAGATGAATTGATAGTAAATATATTTAACATTTTTGGAATTAATAATCCTTTATCTAGTTTATTCTTAGAGTGTGCTTTAAAACTGATTTGACAATATCCTTTGTAAAAACAGCCAAGTTTGATTAACATATAAAAGGATCTCTAAATGAATTTTTTCTACCTTTTCTATTGTATGGAATCAGGACAGGAATTTTTCTTTTTTTCCAGTTTTATGATAGGAACTTTTAAAATTTGGTTTTCTGGTCTCATTCACTTTGAACTTCTCTGTTTTATATTCTGAATAAACTTCAAATGAGTGATACTATTAATGACTTTGCCTAACCTAACTTGATCCTCACACCAACATATATTTTCTGTTGCACACATACAGCTAAACATATGATTTTAGAATTAAAATTATAGATTGGGCAAACTGACTCCACAGAGACTCTGGTTTATGCAATATTTGGAAGGCATCAAAAGCAAATTAGTACTATGAATTTTTTTTTTTTTTTTTTTTTTGCCTAGAGCTGGATCAATTAGGGGTTCACTTGCTGGAAATAAACTAAGTTTATATTCTAAATACCCCCTTTTTTTTTTTTCTCAATTCTAAAGATTTATAAAATTTGAGTCTGGGTTCAAAATCGAAAGAGCTCTATTGGGTTTATTTGCCCTGAGAGAAATTCAACAAATATTTTTGGGTTTTTCATAAACCAAGAGCAAGGTCTAACTGTATGTTCTTAAAACATATATTAAACATATATTTCCTATATATAGGAAAACTATATATTAAATGAAAAATGACAATAATAATATTCTCTCTTTAAAAATCAGTTTTGATGTGCGGAGATCTGCTTGGATTTTTGGTCAGGGTCGAGACTGCAAATGGCCATTTGCTGGTCCGCTGTCCTGGACACTGAGAGGAAGAGTTTCCCATGCTTACAGAAACAGGTCAGCTTCATATTTAACCACATCATCACAGGGATGATGTGGTTAAATATGAATCACCCAAATATTGAACATACTTAAAAAAAAAAATTCTCAATAGTGATTCACCAGTAAGGGAAAGTGTTTTGACTAAATGCATTAAAAATGTGCTGGCTATGCAAATCGCTTCCTTCCTTTCTCATGTTTCTAACGGAGTCAGGAAGTAGTTTATGCCTGGCTTTGCCTGGAGATTTCCTTCGGTCATGAACTAGTCATCCCTCTAGGGTGTGAGAAATGATCTTAGTTACCATATAGCTCTTGCAGCACATTTTTAAGCACCAGCTTAGTTCTAGGGCTAAGCATATGGTTGAATCAACGGCAGAGAGAAAATGTACAGAGTAAGGATAGCATCTGATGAGGCTTCAAGCTTTTGTCTGTATGGGCTTCAAGTCCATTACTAGATACATTACGAGCTGTCTGTTGAATATGACAGGTGTCTGGTCAGTCTCCAAGTTTAGACTGTCCCATCTAGACAGGAAGGCTCCATCCCTGCCCCCGTTTATCTGGTGCTAGTATAGATTCTGAGTGTTTGAGTGTGCCAGCTCTAAGGGCTGGTAGAAATTGGTCTGGCTGCCAAGTATCTCCTGCATTGCTGATCTTCCTGTTTAAGGTTCAAATATTTAACACTCTGTGGCGAAATGGAAAATTCTTTAATGTCTTTATAGTTTTATTTGTTCGAGTTCTGAATGACAACACCTTTCTCCTAATATTTTCATTGTTAGATTTCTTTGTTCAATGTGAAAATAATTACACTTCTAAATTTAGGACTGAAATTAAAATAAATAATATCAATCCTAAAATTTTTCTCAGAAGTACTCATTTTTCTGAATTTTCAGCATGAGTGCTTTTTTCATAATAGTAGAAAATTATAATAATTTATGGCAGTATCAACATAAATGACTATACATAAAATAATTAACTCATATGAAAATGCTTGCTCGTTTTTTTAATCCTTTGGCATTGGTTAAATATATAGCTAAAGAATTCTACATCAACACTGTCTAGTCACTTCACCTGGCCCAAATGGCTGTAGAAACCAGGTCCTTCCCCGTCCTGCTGGGTTACTGGAGGGTTGGGTTGGATGTACTGCCCGACTGGTTTTCACATCTCCTCTTTTGTCCTCCACAGTGGGTATCACCACCACGGGGATAAGTGTGCATTGCTCAAGTGTACCATTGGAAGACATGACTTCAGTGTACCCTTCTTCACAACTGCACATCCTCGTCTGCAGGAGAACAAGACTTATACTGCACATGCAAGGTGATCTTTATAAGCATAACAGACCTGACTTGAAGAGCAGGCTTTAAAGAAATATTGTTCTGGGAATTTACTTCATGTAATTTCTGTCATAACTACGTAAAAAAGAACACACTTTTTGTCCCTTTACAGACTTATTGTAACAGTAGAGGCAAGTGCATTCAGAATTGTTTATAGTGATAAAAGGAGAGGTCCCAAAATAGAATTTTTATGCCTCAAGACATGCTTTTCTGGGGTTGGGGAATGGACTGTACCAGAGGCAGTGGGGTGACAAATGATGAAGCTGGCTTGCCTACTCTAATGAATTCACACATACCTCGCTACAGTACGAGTGGGGTTGACTACACGGTGGATTACAAGACCTGTCAGCATCAGGCTGGCGCACCACCAAGCAGCCCCCTGCAGAACAGAAAATCATATTTTGACAAGTAGCATCTCTTGCAATGATTAAAAATACATCATTGTTGTAGACTTGTCTTTGAATCCTGAACCACCTTGGGAATCCCACAGACTTTTCTGAGGGCAGCTGACTGAAATATTTGGTTGACCTTGACCACTGTATTTAGGATCTCGAGGCTCTTCTTATTCAGAGGAGACAGCATAGTACCTGCCACTCAGCAGGTGCTCGATAAGCACCTGTTGAATGGATGATTTTATAGTTGCTACTCTGAAAACACTAATTGCCTGCAAGCTATTTATCATAGTTTCTGAGACCAAGTCCAGCACTAAAAAGCAGATTTAATATTCTTTTAAAATTCTTTCTTGGTTATTCAGATAAATAGTTTTCATGTTAAGATGTCCCTTTAATTCATGTGACTATCTTGTATATGTATTTTTCTTTCTTTTTTTTTTTTTTTTTTTTGCGGTACGCGGGCCTCTCACTGTTGTGGCCTCTCCCGCTGCGGAGCACACACAAGCTCCGGACGCGCAGGCTCAGTGGCCATGGCTTACGGGCCCAGCCGTTCTGCGGCATGTGGGATCCTCCCGGACCAGGGCACGAACCCACGTCCCCCGCACCGGCAGGCGGGCTCTCAACCACTGCGCCATCAGGGAAGCCCTGTACATGTATTTTTTATAATACGTATTTCTTTTTGAGAAAATCACTAATTCAGGATATTTTTAGGGTATAAGAAAACAAAGGCAGCTATAAGTGTATGTCTGCACTGTTGTTTTAACTTGTCATTGCAGCTCTCTGTTTAGTCCTCTTCTTTCTTCCTTCAAGTACAGTACCAGGTGTGCTGAAGTTGTTATAATGAAGTTTCAAGACAAGAACAGATGTCATACAGAAACAGTATTGGTGGCATGGAAAGAACTGATAGTTTCAAACCATACTTGTTCAACTTAGAATTTTAGCAAAGCAAGATTTTTCCTTTATTTGTGGAATTGATGATCCTCTTGGAATCTAATCAAAGGTACCTATTAATTCCTTGCCTTATCTCTCTATATTATAAACAAAATATTCACAGAAAAATTGTTATGGAAAAGCAGTTAGTCATTGCAAGGCAGTTGCAGTTACATGGCCATATTGAAGTTATCATCATTAAACATATGAAGACAAAGTAAAGCAGCATCTTGAGTTTCTTATAAGGACAACTATTCATAAAATTAAAGCAATCAATCAAGCCAGATAATATACTTTACATGCTTGTCTATTTCTCATAAAGAATCTCATCTCTCCTAAAAGATGGAAGAAGAATGCATACAGAGTTTATCACAAATCAATCATTTACACATTTTTTTTGGGGGGGTATAAAACAGCATTAGAAGGGAATAAATACATGGGATACTTATATAGAAAAGAAATTGAAAATATGATTTCTACAGGTAAGTCTTTTAAAATTTGACTTACCTTTGCATTGGGGAATAGCCCTAATTTCAGTCTGAAAAGAGCTTTTAACATGTAGAAGAAAAGGCAGACAACTATTATTTGCATCCATATTTGGGGGAAAAAAAAACACTGAAAACTGATAGGGTCCTCTGGGGAAGCTGTAAAATACCCTCTGAAGAGTTTAAAGAAGAATGTAGACATTCATTTTCAACAGCTGAGTTGAGTGGACACCTCTATAATGCCTTTGGGTTCAAAGCCTATGCTTCTCTTCCCAGAACTCTGTCTCCCCCTGTTGCCTCAGAGAGTGGTGTGCTTGGAACAGATTTTTCTTCCAGAAAATAACAGTGTGAGAGAGCAAAGCGTTTCTTGGTAGGTGTCTTTTCTTTGTTATAGATGTATCCACTGGGAGTTGCTATTATCAAGTGTTTCTTAACACAGATTTCTCACGTCTAAAATCTTTTCTTCACAAGAATACAATCTGACATCCTGCTCTAGCTTTCATAAGGAAGAAATTAGTAATTAGGTTTCAATAAATCCAGGTAATTTAAAATTCAATATAAAAATTTATGCTTTCCAAAAAGCATATCGACCCCTGCTATCTTACTGTAGATATTACAGTTAAATTTATAAATGGACATTACTCAGAGGCAACAAAATGCACATTACTTTTTCTCCCTGCCAGAGGGTCAAAACAATGGCAGCAAGTCAGCAGGTCCCCCTGAACAGTTAACTGTCAATACTCAGGCTGCTGCTATGCCATGGATATTCCTCGATTAGATCTCTACAAATACATTGTTTAAGAAGAGACATTAGATCTTTGGGTACATGGGCCTGAGGCTGAGGTTCTGTTCTGACCCTGGTTTCTTTGTAGAAAATTTGCAGGGTGGTTCACTCCATCTCTGGAGCCAGTTTTCTTCCCTCTTCAAAGGGTCTTTGGGATCCCTTGCATTTACTGGAGTCAGATAAGGAAACTTCAGTAACTGTAGATTAGAGTAGATCTTGGGGGTATACTTGGGTCAAAGGAGATTCAAAAAAAGTTTTCATTTGGATTTCTTCTTTCAATGTACAATGATTTTTGACTTGGGACAGAGTAGGTAGATTGGCTACTCATATGCTCTGGGCTTGAGTTTTACCAATAGGTCTTCTATATTAATTAATAAAAAACTATAAATCATAGATTCCTGAATTTAAGCAAAATATTTGGATTTGTGTCATCATATTCTCTTGGCAATATTTTTGGACTGCATGTATATTGCCTTTAAGGCACAGAAACAGAGTCAACAAAATATTGACTTTCTTAGCATGTAAGAAGTAAGTTATTAATATATAAGATTTCTAGGAAAAACAATCTGAGAATTATTTACTTATAATCATTTATTAGAATTAGACAGTATTTTAAGTAAATTATAGCAGCAATGTCTAAAATGGCTGGGTGAGGGAGAATTTAATTGAAACATTAAACAGTAAAATAATTTGTCATTGGTCATTAGGTGCACAGCTCAGGTGTCGTGAACCCAACCACGTGTGGAATACTCAAAGAATATCTTTGTTTTCTTAAGTATTTTCTTTAACCAATTACATGTGTGTTACAGTAAGACTTTCAAAGAACAAAGAAATGGGAGGTTTACCTGTTACATTTATACCATCTGATCTCTGACACCAGACTGTTCGGGAAGAGCCCTTCCAAGCACTAGCCATCCATTTATACTCGTAACACTGTCCATCTGCAGGAACACAATAAACATTAACAGAGGCATTCTATAGGCCAGTGGAACAATCATGGAGATAGGGTATTAATAAAATATTTATAAACAATTGGAAAGGGATGAGAAGTCCATCCTGAATGATTCAAATGTCAAGTTATTATCCAGAAGTTGCCATATAGATGTTACAAAATTCCAGATACATACCTAAATTCCAACTAATTTTCTATGTCTGCTGTCATACTATCTAATGTGAACCTGGATTTTCAATTTAATTTTATGTTTATTTGAAGTATTATAAAATATCCAACATACAGACAAGGACAGAGAATAATTTAAAAAATATTCAATTACCCATCATCCAATTTTAACTAATATTACCATTTAGTCATATTTGCTTTATTTTTGGTTGTTGATGAGTAAAAAAAGTAACAAACTTGAAGTTCTATTATATTGCTTCCTGATCTGATCTCCCTCTTTGTTTCTCCAGCAATACCCAGTCTTCTGAAGTAGATACATGCATTTCTGTGGCACGTTTTTAATTCTTTTAATATAAATAGAATGTAAGTATAAATACATACAACCTATAAATTATTTATAGAATTATTTTTAGGTTTTTTTTTTTTGGTCTGTGTTGGGTCTTCGTTGCTGCACGTGGGCTTTCTCTAGTTGTGGTAAACAGGGGCTACTCTTCATTGCAGTGCGCAGGCTTCTCTTGTTGCAGAGCACAGGCTCTAGGCATGTGGGCTTCAGTAGTTGCAGAGCGTGGGCTCAGTAGTTGTGGCGCACGGGCTTAGCTGCTCTGCAGCATGTGGGATCTTCCCGAACCCCAGGGGTCGAACCCATATCCCCTGCATTGACAGGCGGATTCTTAACCACCGTGCCACCAGGGAAGTCCTTTAGGCAGTCTTAAAATTTAAAAAGTATCATACTGATACCTATGATACATACATCTTTTTGAAACTTAATAGTCAATGTTATATGTAACATAAAATGTTATAAATCAAATATTTCTATGTGATTTTTTTAATGCAGACATAGTCAATTTATTTTAACTGCTACATAGAATTCCATGGTACTATCTACTACAATTTATTTAGCTATTTCCTCTATGGGTGGACTTTTAGGTTGTTTTCAACTTATGCTATTATAACAGTGCCTCAGTGGTCAGTCTTGTGCAAGTCTCCTGGTGCTTCTTCAAGGTAAATATTTAGAAGGGAAATTTCTGGGTATCATTGTAGGGATAGCTGAAACTTTACTAAATACAGCTTATTCTTTTCTTTAAAAGGTGACAGTTTATATACCCACCAGCACTGAATAAGAGTTACTATTACTCTAAACCTCACAAACATTTATAAATTCCAGATTTAAATTTCTTGTCAGTCTTGTGGGTGTGGAAAGCTATCCTGTCATTTTTAACTTGTAGTTGATTACCAAAGCTATTAAACAGTGAGAAAAATGTTTTGGGGCATTTAGATTTCCTCTTGTGAATTGCTTATGTATATCTTCTGGCTCCCCCCACCCCTTTTTTTCTACTGAAATCTATGCCTTTTCATATTGGGTTATGGGAATTTTTTATTCTAGAATAACAATTCTCAAATTATGGTCCAGGGACCAGGGAAGACTTTGACATTCTTTCAGAGTATGTGTGTGATGATTTTCCCCTTTAACTACACACCTGGGTAAGTAAGGCTGGATTTTCTTCATATACATAAACTAAACTAAGATGGCAATAGACTGAATGCAGAAGCACAGAAGAGAAGCCAGCTGTCTTCTGTTAAGCCAGATGTTAAGCCAGAGATTTGAAAAAGTGTAAAACGAGACAATGACTGTCATTAAAGTTATTTTCTTTTTGTTTTGGAAAACAGTTATTTTTCAGGAAATATTTATGGTAACAAATTGATTTATGATTGTTTTAAATAAATTATCAAATATTTTAAAACATCAGTTGTCATTTTTTAATATGAAAAATTTTGATATATATAACTCACAGAGAAAAGCAGTTTGGGGTGCTCAGCAATTTTACAAGTATGAAATTGTCTTGGAATGCTGAAAAGATTTAGGATAGTTGTTCTAGACACTAATTCCTTAAAGTTGACTTCACAAATATCTTTTCTAAGCCTGTGGCTTGTCTGGTAACTTTGTTTATGATCTATTTTACAGTGTAGAAGATTCAAATTTTGATTTAAAAGAATTTTTGTTTTTCATTTTTGTTTGTGATTTTGGTGTTGTATTGGGGAGATTTTCGTCATCTTTTTTTTCTACCCAACTTTGTTTTATTTCTTAAAATTTCACAATAAATGGGAGTTGTCTGTTTCTTTAAATTTTAATGAAACTCATAATTAAAGCCATTTAGGTTTTAGTGTTTGTGCATGTGTGAGAATATTTGATAGACCTGTGTTTTTAATAGTTGCAGAATCTATGGTTTAGCTTCTCTATTACTCTTGCTAGATAACATTCTAAATTGTTGTCAAGTTTTTACATTTATTAGCAAAATTTTTTCATAGAATTATATTTTTAAACACTATCTTATTAGTAGTAGTAATTTTGTCCTTGTTTTTTCTTCATTGATTTTGCATGAGGTGGTCTATTTTGTTAGTTTGGTCAAAAAAACAAGCTATTGGCTTTGTTGATTATCTTGTTTATTTGTTTTCTATCTCATTGAATTTGTATTTATCAGGACTGTATACACTCTATTAGGACTGTATACACTCTATTTCCCTTTTTTTTTTTTAAATTGGGTTGAAAGTCTAGCTCTTTTTATTTATTTATTTTAATTTAATTTTATTTTATTTTTTTGCGGTACGCGGGCCTCTCAGTGTTGTGGCCTCTCCTGTTGCGGAGCACAGGCTCGGGACGCGCAGGCTCAGCGGCCATGGCTCACGGGCCCAGCTGCTCCGCGGCATGTGGGATCTTCCCGGACCGGGGCACGAACCTGTGTCCCCTGCATCAGCAGGCAGACTCTCAACCACTGTGCCACCAGGGAAGCCTGAAAGTCTAGCTCTTATTAAACTTTTCTCCCTCCTATATAAGAATGTAAAGCATCCTGCATTAACATTTGATATGTAATGCTCTAGAAATGTAGCTTTCGGTTTTCACTTCTGTGTGGGCATGGGGAGAATTTCTTGGCAATTTTTACTGATTCCTAATTTTATTTCATTGTCATTTCAGGGTAAACAATTATTTTTCTTTTCTTGGGAATTATTTCATTTACTGTAACCTCTGACCTTTCTCTCCTTTACCTACCCAGGAATATGAAATGTTTTATCTGGTTGGTAAATTTGGGAAGACTTAACTAAGAAGGTAGATAATTCTATAATTCTTGGGTTAAGGCATCTAGCTCAATTGGCTTTCATTCTAAGCATTGTTCTCCAACATTCTAAGCTTTCTTCAACTTTTCAGCAATATAGATGTTATTTTGGCTCTTATTTGCTAATATATGTCATACTCAGTTGCTTCAGAACACAAGCAGGAATGAGAGGGTTGTTTGTTGAGCAAGACATTCTCCACTAGATAACAATTCTTTTTTTTTTCATTTAGATTTCTTCTGTGTTCCCAAACTAGAACATTTTAATGCTCTGTGGTTCTTGTGAATGTCATCTATTGCTTATATTGGGTGCATGGCTCTATGTGTATGTACACATATACACACAGACATATAAAGATGTATTTTTATATATGCTGTATGTCAAATTTAGACTAATCCTTACCAATACTTAGATTTATCAATTTATCAATTTCTGAGAATATAGTAAAATATCTCATTTTGCTGTTGCTTTGTAATTTTTCTTTCTCTCTTTTGATTTAAATAAATTGAGGATATTCTTACATTCACACATCATCAGGGTTGCTACAGGTGTACAAATAACTTGCTCCTAATCATCTCAGCCTTCTTTAGCTCATAAAACTTGGAAATATTTTTACAATATTTCATTTATGAAGGGTGGCAAGACTTTTAGTCTCTAAATATTTAGAATTCAGAGTCATACCCTGAATTCTCACCTTTAAGTGATATCTTAGCAAATTTGCTTATTCAACAGAAAATTTTATATCTTATACTTTTGCTTATCAACACAAAACTAAAATAAATAGATTTTATGAATGGTAGCACTCACCATCACATGATTTTGTTTCTAACGTCTGCTCTGGGCACAGATGTTGATTCTCTAGCTCTTGTATAATCACTGCTCTGGAACGGACCTGTATTCCACCAAAACCTAGGTCCTCACCATTCACACAGGTCAGCTGACACATGCTCCAGGAAGACCACTCCTTCAAATAACAGTCACCTGCAAAACACAAGTTTGTAGTTTATACCCATAAAGAATAGCCAGCCAGATTATCATTTTATGTTTAACCCGACTGAGCAGTGTTTTTAGGTATGCCAGTCATTCATGATATTTGTAAGATTTGTATAAGTATTTAATATTTGCAAGTTTGTATGTGGTTTTGTAAGTTTGTATTAATAGTAAGATTTGTATAAGTATTTAATATTTGCAAGTTTGTATGTGGTTTTGTAAGTTTGTATTAATAGTGTTATTTTCTGAGTGGATGTTACTGAGTATAGCATATGTGCTGCTTAATGATATCAAAGGTAAACTATGGTTTGAAGGAACTTGTCCATCATGATTTCCCTTAAGTGACAACAATACTTGATTAAAACCTGCTACTATCACCCTTGTCATTATCATCATAAAACGGTTTATTAAGCACTTGGTACTATTAAAAGAAAATCGAAATATACACAGGACTTGTCTTCTAGGCGTTCAAAATTTCCAAGAGCTTGAAGTCCAAGGCTGAGAAAGCTGGTATTTATGCTTGGTTTCTGTTTCTTACCAAAGTTGTGGAGGTGGGACAGCTAACCAAGCAGCTGCAGTAGTGGCAATAATGCACACAGTGTCCTCTGATCTACACCTTCAGTCAGCTTCCTCCCTTTTTTTCAATTATGTATTGAAGAGTAATATACATGCGAAATGATGACACATTATAGATGCACAGATAGCTGAATGTTCACAGTCTGATTAAATACCCATGTAGCCAACCTCCAAATCAAGCAACAGAGCATTCTCAGAATCTCAGAAACCCTCCTCATGCTCTACATGGAATAGAACCGTATGTCCTTTTTTAATGTCTGCTTTCTTTCACTCATTTATGTCTTGAGAACCATCACATATTTATGTTGCTCTAACTTGCTCATTTTTACTGCTGTGCTTTATTTATAAACATACCACTATTTACATTTCGATTCTACTGTGGGTGGGCATGTGGAGAGTTGTAAATTTTTCCTATTATGAATACCGCTGCTGTGAACATTTTAGTATGCATCTTTTGGTGAACTTATATATGCATTTATTTTGAGTATATAACTAGAAAATAGTTACAGTTATATAGGAATTGTTGGGCCGTAGTATATCACGTGTTCATCTTCAACCATTTTCAGAACAGGGAAGATTTAATGAAATACACCTTTCTCGTATACTCATTCATTCTTCAGGACTGACTGCTTGGTGATACTGTTCAGAGGATGCAGTACATTTTCATAAACACAAATCCATAAGGGATTCTTATCACTTTAATTATTCCAGCCATATCACATGAATAATTTATATTGCCTTATATTATACTGAAGATATCTAACGTTAGCACAAAGTTACCTGGAGATCTGATTAATGAAAAAACTTCTTGTGCCAGGATTAAGAAATCCTGGAAAGACATGAATTACTGACTAACAGATACATGTATAATACTCAAGTGGAGTGATCTTTGTACACCTTTACTATAGTGTGTCATTATTACTCTGTCTAATGTCATCCTAAAATGAAGAAAATTCTAGTAAATTTTGGAAGTGCTAAGGAAAAAAGAAACTAAGAATTTTTAAGTAGTTAAAGAAAATTTTATAAATATTTATATCCCCTAGGAAATGCTACTTTAGGCTTACTCAGTTTTTAATTATGCAAGATAGAGAAACTGTCAATATGAATGTAGTGTAACGTCACCTCAGTGACTGCAAACTACATGGAAGTAAAATATACCTTTTTACTAATAGGCTTTATCTCTGTGCTTGTATCACTTGACAGTGTATTTTGACACAAAACTCAATAAATCTTTTAATGGTAGTCTGTGGATTATATAATTATCACTCCAGAATAATCCATGTCAAGCTTCAAAGATTTAATAACAGCAAATAAGTGTGAAGCACTGACTTGTACTAAATATATTTTTATATTTTGACCATATAAAACATTGTAATAATAAAACTACACTCTGCCTACCAAAGATATTAAGTGTCTGAAATGCATTTCCTACTTCAGTATTCTACTCTTTAAAGCTTATAAGCTCACATGCTACTAGCTTTCAAAAGCCATCATTGGAGAAAACTAGCAAGAGAGGAATGAAAATGAATAGATTGTAATTTACAAGAGAAGACCAGCCTCCTCCTGGATTTGTAATTGCTTTAATTAAAATGGTGAATTGCCTGTTCTATGCTACTATGGGATCTTGCAGTTTTTCTTCACATCGTTTACCACAGATTTCTTTTTTTTAATCTTATTTTATATTGGAGTATGGTTGATAAACAATGATGTGTTAGTTATAGGAATACAGCAAAGTGATTCAGTTGTACCCATACAAGTATCCATTCTTTTGCAAATTTTCTCATTTAGGTTATTACAGAATATTGAGCGAAGTTCCCTATGCTATACAGTAGGTCCTTGTTGGTTATCTATAGCAGTGTGTACATGTCAATCCCAAACTCCCAATCTGTCCCTCCCTGCCTTTCTCCCTGGTAGCCATAAGTTTGTTCTCTAAGTCTGTGTTTCTGTCTTGTAAATAAGTTCATTATTATTTTTTTTAGATTCTGCATATAAGTGATATCATATGATATTTCTCTTTCTCTGTCTGACTTACTTCACTTAGTATGATAATCTCTAGGTCCATCCATGTTGCTGCAAATGGCATTATTTCATTCTTTTTAATGGCTGAGTAATATTCCATTGTATATATGTACCACATTTTCTTTATCTGTTCCTCTGTCAATGGACATTTAGTTTGCTTCCATGTCTTGGCTATTGTCAACAGCACTGCAATGAACATCAGGTGCATGTATCCTTTTGAACCACAGTTTACTCTGGATATATACCCAAGAGTGGGATTGCTGGGTCATATGGTAGCTCTATTCTTAGTTTTTTAAGGAACCTCCATACTGTTCTCCATAGTGGTTGTATCAATTTACAATCCCACCAACAGGAAGGTAGGAGGGTTCCCTTTTCTCCACACCCTCTCCAGCATTTATTGTTCGTAGATTTTTTGATGATGGCCATTCTGACTGGTGTGAGGTGACATCTCACTGTAGTTTTGATTTGCATTTCTGTAATACTTAACAATGTTCAGCATCTTTTCATGTGCCTTCTGCCCATCTGTAGGTCTTCTTTGGAGAAATGTCTATTTAGGTCTTCCACCCATTTTTTGATTCTGTTGCGTGTTTTTTTGATTTTGAGCTCCACGAGCTGTTTGTAAGTTTTGGAGATTAATCCCTTGTCAGTCACATTGTTTGCAAATATTTTCTCCCATTCTGTGGGTTGTCTTTTCATTTTGTTCATGGGTTCCTTTGCTGTGCAAAAGCCTCTAAGTTTAATTAGGTCCCATTTGTTTATTTTTGTTTTTATTTCCATTACTCTAGGAGATAGATCAAAAGAGATTTTGCTGTGATTCATGTTAGAGTGTTCTGCTTATGTTTTCCTCTAAGTTTTTAGTATTCTGTCTTACATTTAATTTTCTTAATTTTATTACAGAATTAAGAAAATTCTTAATTTTCTTTTTTTGCAATATCTTTGTCTTGTTTTGGTAACAGGCTGATGGTGGCCTTGTAGAATGAGCTTGGGAGTGTTCCTTCCTCTACAAGATTTTGGAAGAGTTTCAGAAGTGTAGGTTTAACTCTTCTCTACATGTTTGATAGAATTGGCCTGTGAAGTCATCTGGTCCTGGATTTTTGTTTGTTGGAAGTTTTTTCATCACAGTTTCAATTTCAGTGCTTGTGATTAGTCTGTTCATATTTTCTATTTCTTCCTGGTTCAGTCTTGGGAGATTGTACCTTTCTAAGAATTTGTCCATTTCTTCCAGGTTGTCCATTTTATTGACATAGAGTTGCTTGTAGTAGTCTCTTACGATCCTGTATATTTCTGTGGTGTCCATTTAACTTCTTTTTCATTTCTAATTTTATTGATCAGATTCTTTTCCCTTTTTTTCTTGATGACTCTGGCTAACGGTTTATCAATTTTGTTTATCTTCTCAAAGAACTGGCTTTTAGTTTTATTGATCTTTGCTATTGTTTTCTTTGTTTCTATTTCATTTATTTCTGCTCTGATCTTTGTGATTTCTTCTACTAACTTTGGGTTTGTTCTTCTTTCTTTAGTTGCTTTAGGTATAAGGTTAGGTTGTTCATTTGAGATTTTTCTTGTTTCCTGAGGTAAGACTGTATTGCTATAAACTTTCCTCTTAGAACTGCTTTTGCTGTGTCCCATAGGTTTTGGATCATTGTGTTTTTATTGTCATTTGTCTGTAGGTATTTCTTGATTTCTTCAGTAATTCATTGGTTATTTAGTAACATACTGTTTAGCCTCCACATGTTTCTGTTTTTTACAGTTTTTTTTACTGTAACTGATTTCTAATCTCATAGCGTGTGGTCGGAAAAATTTCAATTTTCTTAAATTTACTAAGGCTTGATTTGTGACCCAAGATGTGGTCTATCCTGGAGAATGTTTCATGTTCACTTGAGAAGGAAGTGTATTCTGCTGCTTTCGGATGGAATATCCTATAAATACCAATTAAGTCTATCTGGTCTAATGTGTCATTTAAGGCTTGTGTTTCCTTATTAATTTTCTGTCTGGATGATCTGTCCATTGGTGTAACTGGGGTGTTAAAGTCCTCCACTATTATTTTGTTACCGTTGATTTCCCCTTTTATGGCTGTTAGCATTTGCCTTATATATTGAGGTGCTCCTATGTTGGGTGCATAAATATTTACAATTGTTACATCTTCTTCTTGGATTGATCCCTCGATCATTATGTAGTGTCCTTCTTTGTCTCTTTTAATAGTCTTTATTTTAAAGTCTATTTTTTCTGATATGAGTATTGCTACTCCAGCTTTCTTTTGATTTCCATTTGCATGGAATATCTTTTTCCATCCCTTCACTTTCAGTCTGTATGTGTCCCTCGGTCTGAAGTGGTTTGGATTAAATGCTGTGACCAGAAGACATAGACGGACCGAATGGATATAAAAACAAGACCCAAATATATGCTGTCTGTAGAGACCCAGCCATAAAAAGAACAAAATAATGCGATTTGCAGTGACATGGACAGACCTAGAGATTCGTCATACTGAGTGAAGTAAGTCAGAAAAAGACGAATATATGATATTGCTTATATGTGGAATCTAAAAAAATGGTACAAATGAACCTATTTACAAAACAGAAATAGTCACAGATAACACACTACTATATATAAAATAGATAAGTAATACGAACTTACTGTGTAGCACAGTAACTCTACTCAATGCTCTGTACTGACCTATATGGGAATAGAATCTAAAAAAGAGTGGATATATGTATATGTTTAACTGACTCAGTTTGCTGTACAGCAGAAACTAGCAAAACATTGTAAATCAACTATACTCTAATAAAAATTAAAAAAAAAAAGAGAAAAAAAGCCAGTATGGCACTGGCACAAAAACAAAACTATTGATCAACGGAATAGGATAGAAACCCCAGAAATAAACCACCTATGGTCAACTAAGGTATGACAAAGGAGTCAAGGATATACAATGGAGAAAAGACAGCCTCTTCAATAAGTGGTGCTGGGTAAACCAGACAGCTATGTGTAAATGAATAAAATTAGAACATTCTCAAATACCATACACAAAAATAAACTCAAAATGGATTAAATGTAAGACCAGACACTATAAAACGCTTAGAGGAAAACATAGGCAGAACACTCTACGACATAAATCACAGCAAGATCCTTTCTGACCCACCTCCTAGAGTAATGGAAATAAAAACAAAAATAAACAAATGGTACCTAATGAAACTTCAAAGCTTTTGCACAGCAAAGGAAGCCATCGACAAAACGAAAAGACAACCCACAGAATGGGAGAAAATAATTTGCAAACAATGCAACTGACAAGGTCATCTCCAAAATATACAAACAGCTCATGCAGCTCAATATCAAACAAACAAACGAACACCCCCACCCAAAACAACAACAACAGAATTAAAGAATGGGCAGAAGATTTAAATAAGACATTTCTCCAAAGAAGACATAAAGGTGACCAAGAAGCACACGAAAAGATGCTCCACATTGCTAATTATTAGAGAAATGAACTTCAAAACCATTCCTGGGCATATATCCAGAGAAAACCATAATCCGTAAAGATACATGCACCCAAATGTTCATTGCAGCACAAATATCATAATAATATCACTTATATGTGGAATCTAAAAAAATGATACAAATGAAGTTATCTACAAAACAGACTCACAGATGTCAAAAATTTATGGTTATCAAAGGAAAAAGGTGAGGGGGGGAGGGATAAATTAGAAGTTTGGGATTAACATATACATAGTACCATATATAAAATAGATAACAAAGACCTACTGTACAGCACAGGGAACTCTACTTATATTTTGTAATAATCTATATGGGAAAAGAATCTGAAAAAGACCATATATACACACACACACACACACACACATCTGAATCACTATGCCGTACACCTGAAACACAATATTGCCAATCAACTACACTCCAATATAAAATGAAAATTTAAAAAGATAGGCAATTCACTTCCAACCTTGTTCTTTTCTAGCCCACCAATACACTGTTGCCCCTATATCTTTCTTAAGGCCACAGGGTCATGCTTGACACTGAGGTTATTTTGACCTTCTATCTACCCTAAAGTCCTCTGCATCAAGCCCAAATTCCTAATCATTAACTTATCACTTCCTGCTATTTATTTCTAAACTGCTTGATATACGTTTGCTTTCTACATTTTCCTGCTTGTACCTCTGTGTCCAACACTGAATCAGAATTTCTTTCATTCAAAATTTTCTTCCATAATACTATTTTTTCTCACTCTTGAATGGTAATTTATCTAGGGGTAGAATTTTAGCTATTATATCTAATAGCTAATATATTTTAGCTAATATATCTAGGGGTAGAATTTTCATACTCTCCCTGTCAAGCATGAGCCTAAGGCCTTAATTTTCATTCTTTGCAGAAGTTAAAACTCGAGGGGGGTGAGTGTCAACAGAGGCCACGTAGGAGAACTGGACTTCACCCCCACCTGGCAGTAAGGAGCAGTGCCCCCCTTCATCCACGCTACAGTGTCTAGCTGTTGGCACAGATATTACTGAAAGAGAAGACTGTTGACATCTCTTAAACTTATACACGCAACCCCTTCTCCACCCTGGTCCTGGTAAGGAATGGCCAAAGTACGAATTCTGTTTTGCTGTTGTTACCTGGGCAAGGCTGGGTGCAGGTTTCCTCAAGAACCACTTTTTTATTACCATCTATAATGGGTTCGATATCAGTACAGAATTCTTCATCCACTACCTTGCTGAAATCATCAGCTGACCCATCACTCACTACACAAGAAATATTCCTTGTTCTGGTCCCTTCGCCACACTGGGCATCCTGAAATGGAGGAAAAAATAATTAGGAAAAAAAAATAATTCATTGGTTAGCTTATCGCTTACAGTCATCTCTGCACCATTGATTTTGATTTATGAGCAGTTAAAGGAACATTTGAAACCCTAGGGAAGAGGTCCTTTAGGGCAGTAGCTATAAAGCATAGCATGAACAATTTATTTGTTTTCTAGCCAAAGACAGGCAAATAAATTTTCATTAAAATGAATCAGTCTCCAAATGGTTTTAAAATACAGGACAGGGAGTGCTTGTTATCGAAACTAATTAAACAGTTATGAAATGGCAAGGTACCTAAAATCTTTAACAGAAAACATGCTATCTGTAAGCTCTGCAAATATTTCTGAAACCAAGTCTCTCCAGATAAAGAATACACACTTCCGTACAACTTTTTGAGATTGGTTACCTGCACTTGGCATGCAGACCACTGGCTGTATTGCCACCGATAACAGGGCTTCACTGGGCAAGGCTTAGACTGTTCCATCAGGGCAGGGCATGGTCTTCCATCACCCTGAAAGGGCTGGGTTACTGTTCTTCTTCGGATCATTTTTCCTTTAAGAGATACAAAGTGGTGCAACCTCAGTGATACACTACAATTGTGCAAGCATATATCTTTTTTTTTTTTTTTTTTTTTTGGTGGTATGCGGGCCTCTCACTGCTGTGGCCTCTCCCGCTGCAGAGCACAGGCTCCAGACGTGCAGGCTCAGCGGCCATGGCTCACAGGCCCAGCCGCTCCACGGCATGCGGGATCCTCCCGGACCGGAGCACGAACCCGCATCCCCTGCATCGGCAGGCGGACTCCCAACTACCGCGCCACCAGGGAAGCCCAAGCACATATCTTACTGGGAGAAGGCGTCAAAGACATTTCTTCCGAAATTAGAGGAACAAGTAAGGCTTAGATGTTTTGGAAAGAAAGATACCCTGATTCAACCTTTCTGCAGATTATTTGATATGACTTAAAGCAAGAGGGACATTTTATTTCATATTCCTTGATCATCAGTCTAATGCCAAATAAAGCACAAACAAACCTGTGAGGCCACATGTTTGAGAACATTCTGACCAAGGAGACCAGTCAGAAAGCTGACAGTTCACAGGACATTCCACCATGCAGGACGTGTTCATCTGCCAGTTCTTCTCCAGGCCGAGCTGAAAGGATAGAGGTAGATCTATTTGTACTGACAGGAAGGCATGACCACAGTGCAGTGTTGATGGAAGGAAGAAGGAAGGGCAAGATTGGAGCGGGGATGAGAGGAGAGGAGAGGAGAGGAAGAATAAGCAATATGCATAATAAAATAAAAAGATGTCTGCAGGACAAAGACCCAAACTGTTAAAAATATAAAGTGGCTCAATCCAGGAGAGTGGGAGCAAAAAGAACAGGATGAACAGAGGAGCCCATTTACTCAATATACTTATATATATATATATAGTTGAATTTTTTATATAAAAAGTGAAAAAAGGAAGATTTAATCTCCAAATTAGTTGAATTTCCCTAAAGGAGGAATAAATAGGTGGAAGCACAAATATTTTCTATTAGTTAAAAAGCAAGAATATCATCACTATACAAATATATAATTGTATTTGGGGGATATTTATTTTTACATGTGCATGTCAAACTGAAAAAAGAGCGAGGTTAAAGACCAATTGCCACTCAAAACCAAAAATATAATGTACTAAAATAATATAAAATAGTTTTAAAGTAAGCTACCTCTCTCAAAAGGAGGGGTGGGTCACTAGAATTTTTATTATGAATATTTTATATACATTTATTATTTTTTAAAAAAGATTTTCTCTTCCAGAACTGATCTCAGGAGCTAACTGTGGTGTAATTGTTATTTTGGCATTAGTCTCTCATCAGATAATAATGTTGTGCATTTTACTGCATTAAGTAGCATTACTTAAGTATTCTACGTTTAAAATGAAGGATGAGATTTCAAACTCATCCACTGTATATTCAAACATTTAAAAAGTCAAAGGTACAAAGTGGCACTGAAATAGAAAAAATAAGGCTTCTTAGGAAAGTGCAATTTTTTAAATTAGTCATCCTTGGGGATTTTCAAGACCTTTTTTATTTCTGCATGAAAGTAAGTTTATAGTGTCTAATTTATAGAGCAGAAAATGGCAAAAGAAAGTTTTTCTGAAATGTTATGTTGCGGTTCAAGTAGAACTCTTGGCTCTAAGTTATGCACTGAGAGAGGATCAGATCGACGATTTATGTACCAGATCCCTCTGTAAACACTCTCATTATATTCTCCATCAGTAGTACTTGACAAAGCTGAGTATTTGGTATGAAAACTTTTACCATATCACTTAATTTAAAATTAAATTAAATCACTTATAATCACTGGAGATTAGAAGTTTTAAGGTGATACGATAAAAATGATGTGTTAAATTTAAGGTACCTAATAGTTTCATGGAGAAAGGTTTTGAATCACAGAATTCAACTACTACTGGTTTATTTATTTTGCTAGAGGGTTAAAAAGGATGTCTGTTTACAGATACTTTGGGTACCCAGTAGTAAGACATTTCAATTCTGTACTATTTTTTCTCTTAAATTTGTTGTAGCTTCTTTTTCTCCTCTCTCTGTATCTATCTATCTATCTATCTATCTATCTACCCTATCATCTATCTAATCTATCATTTATCTAAACATATGTTCAGGGATAAAAGAATAGGAAAGGAGAAACCAGTTATTAGGTATCTGGTGAATTAATGTCTGAAAAACATCAAAGACAAAAGTGCTATATAAATGCTGGATGGATTTAACCCTAATTTTCCTCTTTGTTGGACAGTAATGCCATTTTTCTTTTGGGCTGTTAGAGAAACAGCAAGAGTTAGCTACTGCTATTACACTCAATTCAGGGTTTGCACATGTATTAGTAGGTAGGCAATCTCCTGTTAAAAAAGATAGCCAGCTTTTCTCAGGGCTGTTATTTAAGTCTACTGCTTTTTTAGGGTGGATAAAATGGGATATGAGTTGTTTAATCCAATTCCTGCAGAGAGTAGCACTGCTCTCCCTGAACACAGGGTTTACTAAAATGTTATGATTTGAACCCCTGTCATCACAGTATTCAAACATTATAATATTTGTACATAAAAGTAAATTTATCTAGGCTCCTGGATACTTAAAATTATTTCTCAGGTTTTTATCCACTTTATTTCACTTAAGAAATAAAAGGCCCTATTTATATCTTTGTCCTGTAGTCATGAGATATTTAAAAACTGGTCTTGTATGATTTGGGTTTAGCCTTCTAAAAGCTCTCAGAGCTATTAATAGTTATCTCATTCTGACCCAGGAGGACACTTACATGTGCATTTGCAAAAAAAGAGACATATTAAGCAAGTAGAGGTAGACCACAGAAAGCTCTCCAGCCTGTATATAACTATAATAACATTCATTAATAATAATGTTATTTTTATAATGGTCACATCACTTCAATGTTATTAGTTTCAAAGCCAGACTGATTCAGGTATAAAATTTCTGATGAAATCTAAAGCAGTAATTGACTAAGTTATGTTATAAGATGACAGAGCAATTTATTAACTAAACAATTTGTTTTCAGCACACTTGGGAGCTCTGTTCCCATGGACAGAGATACAGATAGTTAAATTAGGTCCACATGATAATATCAAAGATATCAAATGGATTAAAATACTTCCATCTTGAGTTTTCCCTTAGGAGTTTGAATAATTTACCACGAGCTTATAATATCCCCTAGAATGTGTAGACAGACGTCATGGTCCCAAGTCTACTGAACCCTAATGAGGTTATAAGTTCCTCCCGGGTGTTGCAGGTCTGTGGAGGCTGTTGCTTATCTTGGTTCATGTTTAACCCAGTGGCCTCGGATGCAGGAGGAGTCAAAATCTGTCAGGAATGTGAGTGCCCTTTTGGTCTGGAAACCAGACAAAATAATCAAAACCCAAAGCGTAGCTTCATGAATACTACCGAAGGACAACAACTATGTTTTCTCGCGTTTCCTAAGGTCATATTAGAAATGATAACATTACTTTTGTAAATTGGAGAATTAACAGTTACAATTCTCTGTACCTAAAAGACACTGATGGCAGACTCTATTCCTTTGTTTGAACTTCAAGCTCTCTCTTATCCAGACCTGAGTCTTAGACTCTCACAGCTGGGTATTAGGTCCTAATATCAAAATCTGCTACCAAACCACATGTGATCAGTGTTTTGCAACAGAGAGAATAAATGATGGCTCTTGGCAGGTGTCCCAGGCAACACAAAATTCATATGAAATTACAAAAGATGATGAGTAGTCTGATTAAGATTTATTGCCTTTATTCACCTTGATTACTTATTGTTCCCCGAGCATTTCTTTCACAATAGGCTAATTAGCATACCTTTGGGCTCCAAGCAGAACAAAATACAGGAAATTATGTGTAGAAATCAGTAGTGTTGGACAGTGTCTCTTTTCAAGAGAGTGTTTAGCAGCCTCTGAATAGTGCCGAAAACATCTGCTGGCAACGAGCTGCATAAAGCGCTGGTCAGGTCACTTGGCTCAGCATGAATTGAAATTATTAGGGAAGAATTTACTCGCAAAGACATAACAAAGCATCCCCTCACCTCTTCACAATATTTCAGGTTAACCGACTTGCCATCACTTCGAACACAATCCAGCATCCTCGTTTTCATGCCATTTCCACAAACTGCCTTCTCACTCAGCTGGCACGTACTCCAGTCTGGAAGGAAGGGAGCATATCAGAACAGAAGGCTATGCATGAACCGGATTTCAAATGAAACTCGGATGACCTGAATCCCATATTTAATTCACAACTGCTTCCTAAGCCCCGCAATCAATCATCCCACACGCAGAGCGTATGGGCCCAGGCTTTGAACATATCTGGAGTCAAATGGAAATGCTGGCGTTGCACATCGCTACAGGGACTATTCCTGAGGCAGATGTCTCCCTGACAATCTTGCTAGCTAGCTGTTTGGTGATACTGTAGAAATGGCTGTGGCCTGCAGATCAAATGTCATTTAAAAACTTTTCTCCTAACGAAAGTAGAAATTTACATTTCAACATTTTTGTTTAAGCAAAATAATCATAATTTTAATGGCTCGTACTTTAGGTAGTTATATCCAAATAAACCTGTCTTTCACTTACTGTCCGTACTGTAGAATACTGTAAAATGTACGCTTATTTATTTCAAAATCACTTTGGCCATATTTATTTAATTCCCTTTATTATACGTCTTTTGCAAAATAATTCTTTCTTTCCAGGGTAACGTAGCATGCCCCAGAGAACTGTGATTTCATTGTGTCATGAAAGGAAACTGAAAAGAAAAACCAAAAGAAGCAAAAAGTCAATCTGACTGCTGTGTGTCACTGTACAGTCTCTGGGGTTTATTTTGGTGTGAAAATTACTTGGGAAAAATTCCAGAGTAAGCTTCAGTGTTGCCCTAAGTCATACAAACCATGAAAGTCTTCTTTCCTAGAGTATACGCCTTGATGGTGTGAGATGAGGGTTTGGGAAAGAAATGGAATTTAGATTAAGCCTTTTTTTTCTAAAAAAACCCTCATCTATCTTTTTTCTCCTATACCTTTGATAATATTTATATCTCTGAAATGTTTATATTCTCTTCACGCACTTCTTGGCAAGCTTAAGATTGCTGATGTCTTTACAGCAGACTAATCATGCCTATGAACTGCCCCCACGGAAAGAACTGTTGTCCCAGTATTCACAGTGATTAAACACATTCTGAAGAAGAAAGACATCTTTCAATAAACTGATACCCATGGGAAGATATACCTTTTATGTGCACCTTCTGAAAGTGGGAGGGTGGCTTAAATAGGAACCCTTAGACTATTCTCCGTCTGCCTTAAGAGCTAATGTTTGCGTGATCATTTCATTCTCTATTTTGATGTTTATGAAAAATAAGGCAGATAAATATTTCTTTCAGTTAATACGGAATTATTTCTGGGAGAGGAAGCAGCATGTCCAAAAGGCACGCAGATGGAGTTGACCAACACTTCCGGAAATGCTGCTGAGCTGACAGACGTGGGATTTGGCCTTTAACTCTATAAGGAGATGACTATTCACATACCTGTTACATTATAATCATAGTGGAAGCAGTTTTTGTTCAGGTTACAGGGTTCCTTCTCAACAGCATCAGGGCAGGCTCTTCCTTCATCAGCAGGTTGTCTGATGGGATCAGCTGACCTTTGCCGGAAACTGTTTTGATTGCAAGGCTGACAAAGAATAATATAACTCCTCAGAAAGGTGAATACTCAGCCACACAAGAGCTAATGTATTAGGGAGAGCACTGGAGCAAGAGCTAGAACCTTTGGGACACTGGCTAACTTAAACAATCTCATAGCACCTCACTTTCTTCATTTATAAAATCAAGGTGCTGGATGAGTTTCTGATGTTCCAGCTAGCTCTAAGATGCTGGGAACAGGGAATGTTGTCTGCCATTCCAGTACACAAAGAATGTTGCCTGCTGTCTCAGTTCTACAATGATCAAGGCACCAGCCACTGCAGCTGCTGCAGGTGATGTGCCCTAAGCCAAACAGGATGGAAGAAAAGAGGTAGCATTCTGTGCTTTGGATACTGACCCAAGACAGTTAAGATACATGTCTAAGGAATGATTTCAATGAGCCCAGATTCTTGCATCTTCCTATACACAGGAAAGCACTAAAGTCATTAACTAGAGATGTCTGTTTTAGTGATTAGCAGTAATCTTTTGATGTCTGACTGTATGTTCTTTCCCAGCAAAAAACTCCTGTTTATCCTGGCTCCTCCTTTACCTTTTCAGAGCAGTTCCTCAGAGCTATCTAAAAGGTTGTCTCCCAGGCTATAATCCTCAGTAAGATCCCCGAATAAAGCTTAACTTGCAACTTTTAAGCTGTGTGTGTTTCTTCAGTCGACAGTGCTTAAGGGATGTGTCTAACCTGAAAAGGTGTCTGCACCCCCTTGTTTATTGCAGCACTAGTTACAATAGCCAGGATATGGAAAAAACCGAAGTGTCCGTCAATGGATGAATGGATAAATAAGTTGTAGTATAGTTATACAGTGGAATATTATTCAGCCATAAAAAATGAGGATTTCTGCAATTTGTGACAACATGGATAGACCCTGAAGGCATTACGCTAAGTGAAATGTCAGACAGAGATAAACAAATACTGTATGATCTCACTTATATGTGCAATCTAAAAAACAAAAGAAAAAACAAAACTCATAGAAAAAGAGATCTGACTTACAGTTACCAGAAGTGGGGGTAGGAGAGAAGGGAGAATTGGAGGAAAGTGGTCAAAAGGTACACATTTCCAGTTATAAGATAATAAGTAGTAGGGATGTAATGTACAACACGATGACTGTAGCTAACACTGCTGTATGTTATACAGGAAAGTTGTTAAGAGACTAAATCTTAACAGTTCTCATCACAAGCAGAAAATTCTTTTCCTTTATTCTTCTTTCTTTTCATCATACCTATTTGAGAAGATGGATGCTACTGAACCTATTGCGGTAATCATTTCACAATATATGTAGATCAAACCATCATGCTATATGCCTTAAACATACAATGATGTCTGTCAATTATTTCTCAGTAAAACTGGGAGAAGAAGAGCCTATGTGTCGAATATTAATAGATACATCACATCATCCATACACAAACACATACATATGGTCATATTAATTACTGTAGAATACTAATAACTAACAATACTAATAATACTAATACTAATAACTACTAATAACTAATACAGAAATTATAATCTATCTGTTTATCTAATAGAGTTGACAGGACCTGAAAAATGGTTTTAAGGGTGAACTTTAAATAACTAGTTATATACAACCTTTATTTTCCTAATGTGTACACATATATGCACACAAACACAACTTAGCATGAATTAAAAAGACTGGTTGCCATTCTCCTACTGGTACAGTGTTGTTTTGAAAACATTTGGTTACTAAGATCAGAAACAGTAACTTCAAATCTGATGCTATGGAATTAAATAGAATAGAAAATCATTTGCATATGCTTGTGAAACAGCTGATTTTTTTTTTTTTTTCCTTCGGTTCGCGGGCCCCTCACTGTTGTGGCCTCTCCCGTTGCAGAGCACAGGCTCCGGACGCGCAGGCTCAGCGGCCATGGCTCACCGGACCAGCCGCTCCGCGGCATGTGGGATTCTCCCGGACCGGGGCACGAACCCTTGTTCCCTGCATCAGCAGGTGGACTCTCAACCACAGCGCCACCAGGGAAGCCCGAAACAGATGATGCTTAATTGCAATTTAACCTGTATCCAAGTCAACTGCCAGCCCTGTTTTGTTCCTGCTCTATCAGTTGGCTGCTAATCAGCATCTTTAATAATGTTAACACTGAAATAGAAAATTAATTTCTCCTTGAAAACATGTATCTGTCCCATATTATATTTCAGCAAATTAATTCCACATTAGATGTATCTTTTCCATGATTCGATGCCATTCTGAAGTGTGCAGCTTTACAAAGGTACACAAGGGTAAGCCAAATTTCCCACATCATCAGCCAGTTCTGTTTCAAGTGACTCTCCTCCCAGGGTCCCATGGAAGAGGCCCTATGGGCTGCTGAAATCTAGAAGCTTTGTGTGATTGGAAACTCTCAGCTGGCTTTCCAGGCCCAAAGAGGCTCAAGAGTCAGTGTGTGGAAAGAGATTCACTGATGCACAGCTCTCTTCTTTCTATTCCCTTTCTTACCAGGATCTTCTGCGTTTTAGTGTCAATACTCCTGCTGCCATACCCCTACCGTGTGAAAGACTATTCCTACAATTTTAAATGGATTGGGCAAAAAGCAAGGGATGATAATAACCTGACACCATTAAAGTATTTTTACTAGATTTTCATTCTTTTTCCCTTTACCTGGAGGGAATCATTATCACCACTGCAGTTTTTAACATGCTGTGAATTCATAAGCAAATGTAAAGGCATTTTGGGACTTCCCTGGTGGTGCAGTGGTTAAGAATCCACCTGCCAATGCAGGGGACACGGGTTCAATCCCTGGTCTGGGAAGATCCCACATGCCGCGGAGCGTCTAAGCCCTTGTGCCACAACTATTGAGCCTGCGCTGTAGATCCCACGAGCCACAACTATTGAAGCCTGTGCTGGGTTTAGGAGGACGGTGGAGGAGCATAAAGCTTGCAAGAGGTTGAGCTGTTTCAGTGTGAGTCCAAACATTGCTGATTTTAAATGGCACAGTCATAAGAATGAAGTAGCCAAAAATACGCCTTGCTTTGGTAACTAATTTAGTAACCAAGCTATTATTTTCTTAATAATATTTTTAAAGCTTTAGTGGTAAGGAATTAAGCAAATTCTACATTAATAAATGGTTAATTGTCTCACCAAAGTGCATCGGGTCCACGGACCCCATTCAGTTATCACACAATCCTCGGGACATGGTAATTTGCACTCTCTAGAGCCCAGAGGCATCTCTTCTGGGTCACAGAGGTAATCCTCTACATGGTCAGAAGGGCCATCCGCCGTGTTCTGCATGCATCTAGAAGAAAACATACCTATCAGTGAAGGAACTGGGACAACTGAACAATGGCCAACCCGTAAGGTACAAGGTTTTTCATAAGACATCACCATGGAGATGGGGGATGGGAAGCTTTGCATTTAATGAATAAAATTCTCCAAACATAAAGACGTAAAAGGATCTCTGCCTCCCATACCTAGTTGTATAGCTAATGATTTAAAAATCTATGCTTGCATGTATCATAATCTTTTAAAGTTATAGCCACTGTGTATACACTCTGTGTACATAAACTATGTGTCTTCCTCTTAAAGGAGAGGGTCATTTACACCCATATGTGATGCAGAAACTAATGAGTTCACCGAAGATATTCATAGATGGGTTACAATTTTGGAATATAATGCATGTTTTTCTTCTGAGGAAAATGGTGAATTCCATGGAGAAGGCAGATTCATATATGACGGAAGACAAGGCACACTGAAATCTCCTAGGGAGAGATTTCAGTAAGTGGTTTTGAGAAAGTAACTGATGGCATTTATCAAGTTGTTTTGTCATTTCAAAAGTAATTTTCGCTTCCCATCTGCTGATAACCTTAAAAGAAAGGCAGAAGTGAAGAGACAGTCATAAGAATAATAGCACAAATTCTCTAAACGTGGTTGCTGGGATCTTCCTATATCTTGACCTTTTTTATTCTTAGTTTTCCTTTTAACAGAACAAATTCAAACATTTTATTACATTTCATTCTATTGTAAGCAGTCATAAAGGGCTCCTTAGTCATCTCTTGGGAATCTAATTAATGTGGCTAGTACCAGACTTAACTTTTACTGTAGTTAATAATCTCTCAAGGCACTTTTCGAATAGAAGAGAAAAACTTTATCCCTCATTTGTAACTCAGAGAAGGTCAACCAAATTAATAGGTTTGGGAAGAGAACTGCATTGCAGGAGATGAAAAGGAAGGCTTGAGCTCTTAAGCCTCTCAAACCCACTGCAATGTTTTAAACTGTTGGTTGCATTACATTACCAATTATATCTGGAATGTCAACTTTTCTCAGGGATTTACGATCAGTAGGGACATTGCATCTTCACAAATCTCCTCTGCAGAATCACGTTTCTATACAGCGCTGCTAATTTTAAGAGAAATGTGGTTTTCCTGTGGAACGCATTCAAAGACTGGAAAACTAAGCTGTTGGTTATGTCTTAACTGGGTTTGTAAGCTGGAAAAATAGCCACACAAATACCCACCTCTGCATTTTTTTTGATACTGAATAAATACATAAAAGGTAATCACAAAAATATGCAAATGTAGACAGACATTTACATAGTTTCATTGTTGAAGGAAAAAAATAAATTATAAATTTCTCTGGGAGAATTTTAGTTTCCCAGGAAAAAAGTTCTAGCTTCAGTGGCATTTTAAAAATGTTCTGTTGACGGCAGCTAGGAGAGGACAGAGCAGACGGGACAGTTCAGTCTCCAAAGTTGGATTTGCTAAGAAAAGATTACATTAATGTGAGGCCCTGACATGATGTACAAGGATTAACTTGCAAAATTACCTATTGATTCAAAGTTAAGGACAGATGTTCAATACTCTATTAAGTAGTTATGTGCATAAAACTTTGTTTTCAAAGGTATTTCTTTTCCTTCGATTTTTACTATACAGGTAATAGATTCATTTTAGGAAAATCACAAGAAATAATACAAATTCACTACATTCTATCAGAGATAACCACTCTTAACAGACTACTATATTTAAACATATATTTTCATTTCATTAAACAGGAGCAAACTTCACCTACTATCTGTACCATTTAGGAAAAACATCAACAATACATTATAAAAATCTTTTTGTGTTATTAACTGTGTTTCTAAGACATAATTTTTAATGATTACATTTGAATTCCATCTTTTGAATGTGCCACAATTGCTAAAAAACCCTTCTTGTTGACATTCAGATTATGTTTTATTTATTTGAGTTACTATTAATGATACTTTTATCACTGCAGAATAGAATAAATATTTGGATCAAGTCTTGAGCCCAAAGGGAAGCACTTTAAGTTCATTTGCTTTCTTCAAATTCCTGGCCTTTTCTCCTTTCCATAGGAGAAGGGATTATGCTGTGAGAATACTGAACTATTTTAGAAAACCACCACCAAGTTGGAGGCCAAGGGTGGGCCCAGATGCCCACCACAGTTGTAGCAATAAGGGGGTGCATTGCCTGCAGAAAATTCAAAAGCAACAATAGAAATAACCAAATCTGTTTGGTTTTTATTATCATCATGTGCTGGCAATTCTACAAAAATGTTAGTGAAAAAATATTCCTTCCCAGCAGGAATTACACAGTCTTTACTATTTACTATTTACTACTATTACACAGTCTTTGATGTCACACCATCCTAAAAGAGAAAGAATGAGATATTTTGAAACCTGCCCTCTTATAGACTCTTCTGTCCTGAAATGTCACCCAATGCTTGCATCTAACAGGACATTTGACCTTAATTAGCAGAGGGTAAGGTTTGGGAGGTATACTACTGAATCAAGAAAGAAACATTATTACACAATCAGAAATTCCAATCAATACTGATCTTCTATTTTCTCTGTTTGCATTAAAAATGTTTACTGGAAAAATAAGTTGCCTAGAAAAGTCACTGTGTTTAAGATGTGTTTGGAAATGTTGAGAATACCTATTCACAAAGCAAAAAGAAGCAACATATACACAGCCGAAGGGAAAGCCGAAAGAAGTTCATTATTATAATTTTTTTAATAACAAAAAACACAACCTGATCAAATTTTTAATATAAGAAAAATATTTTTATATTTAAAAGAGAAATTTTAAATTTGGCAGAAGATTGGTAGAAAACAGAATCTCTGTCTTTTTCTTCCCTGTTTCCCTATTAACTCATTACCTCCACCCCACCTCATCCACCTTTAAAAGTTACTCCGTAAAATAACTTGAGAGTTCAGATGGGCTTTTGAAAAAAGAGAGAGAGACTATTTTTACTGGAAGAAATGTTTTACATAGTGTGCCAAGGTTTTATGATATAAACGTTAACTTGTTCTACTTTCCTATTGAAACAGATTAAGAAATAGGAATCTTAAATTCATGAAAAATTATGTCATGAGTGAGAATGGGATTCTTCACAACAGTTGTTGTCAGGTTTGGGATGTTTTTATGTTTTTCTTTACTGTGTGTCACTCAGCAGAGTTAGAAGAAACTGGTTGTAGTTAAAGAGTGACAAGAGACTTGAGTTTGAATGCCACTGTCACTTTACTAGGTGTGTGCTCTCAGCACACTACTTAGTAAGTACTTCTGAATCTACTCTGTAAAGTGGAGATAATAAAGCCTCATATACTTGTTTCCCAGGTTTGAGACCCTTAAGGATCATATGTAGATGGTGTAGGGATAAGTTAATGAGTTAATTTAATTGTATTACAATTATTACAATAATTTAATTGTATTAGGTTTTAGGGAAGTTCTGTGAATACGACAGGGTCTCAGTTTGGAGAAACAGGATTTAATAAAGGGGACAGACATGTAGATGGATCTTTCAAAACAGTGAGGGGTATGTGGGGTATTACAGAACAAGGCTGCTCAGTAGAGCTTTCTATGACAATGTAAATACTGTGCTGTCTCACAGAATTGCCACTAGCCACCTCTGGCTATCGAGCACTTAGAATGTGTCTAGTGTGACTGAGGAAATGCATTTTATTTAATTTTAATAGATTTAAAGTGAAATAGTCACACGTGGCTAGTGGCTGCCCTACCGGACAGTGTGGTTCAGAAAACAAATGAGAGGCACTAGCCAGCGGGGAGGTTTAGGGAAGGCTTCCTAGAGCAGATGAGAGTATTCAAAAGATAGCCAGTTTGATACAAAGGATAAAGAGTTTACAAAAGATTATCACTAAGATACAGTTAGAAATGTATTTGACCTTTAAGGAAGAAGTTACTGGGGTTGGAAAATCTGCATTCATTCACCTCGCATTCAATATGCAGCCCTTTCCCTGCAAGAGTACCTTGAAGCAAAGCTTCCTAAAATCAGAAGGCAGAGGATGAAACACTGCTGCTGGAAGCAGATCCCCTTAGAGCTTTCTATGAACACAGACTCCATAAAAATAAAACTGAAGACAATTTCATTCAGGAGATTGGGAGGAGGGCAAGCTCATGTTGGCACATGAGAAATCGGGAGGTGGCTGTGCCTTTGCTTCTCTGTGTAACTAGGCTTGGCCTTACCTCACTTTTCGGGTTTGCACGCCCTCTCCACAGTTGTCCCGCATGTTCACAAAGGTCACCTTGCAGATGCTCCATGGCTCTGTAACCCATACGTACTGGCTGCAGTCACTGTGGCAAGGGACGACCTCATACACCTGAAACACACACGGTTCTCAATGACCTCACCTCACGGAACCCCATGAGGTAAGTGGGAACACTTCATATCACAGTTATCATGATATTCTTGTTTAGCTACTCTGAAGCCTTTCCTTTACTGTTCATTATTCTAAAACAGGAATATAGAGGATCTCTTGAGAGTTCTAGCAGTGAAGGGTACGGCTGTGTTGTATTGTGCTGCTCCTCTATCACATTGCAGCTGGAGATTGGACCTCATGGACCACATCAGACACATTCCATACTTTCCTAGACTGACCCTTACCACATAGCATTGTAATTTCCTGGGCCATATGTCCTGTTCACAGTTTCATTTGTCTTCAGTACTTAGCCCAGGATGCTTGCTCATATATCAGGCATTCTATAGAGATTTGTTGAGTAAGATGAATAAATGAATAAAAGAATTAATGAATTAAGTAAGCATATAAAAGTAGCTGTTTTCAAATAAGTTTAATTTGGCCTGTTTTCCAAATAAGTATGTATACCAATAAGAATTTTGTGTGTGTGTTCCATATATGAAACTAAATTAGAAGATAAATAATATGAAATAAAGCTATCTTAAAACTAACTAAACCTTGGAAGCAAGGTCTGAAATTGGTCTCATATTACACAGGTACAAAGCGGTGAGGGCCACATAAAACAAAGCAAATTGTCTCTGCTCTGGTGCCCAGAAAGGCTTGCAGCCCCAGGTCTGGGGTGGTGTGCTTGGCTGTTTCAGGATTTTTAGCACAATGAACCAATTATGCTCTTTTCTCAATGAGAAAGAAGAATGACTAAATAAATGAAAAAAAGGACCATAATCCACTGCAACAGAGCTGACTCAACCATTAAAGAAAAATGTCTCTCTTAAAATCATTTCAAAGTCTATGATAACTCTTATTTCCTATTTTACATACACACACACACAAACTACATGAATATTTCATATAACTATTTAATTCCAGAAAATATAAATAGTCCTCTGGAGCCATTCTTTTGTGCAAATTTTAGTTTTACTAAACATCCAAGTAAAGTGAATAAAGTGGACCTATTCCACATAGGAATAAAAAGTGTGTACTGTTGGAGTGAGAATCTGTAATTACTGTCATAAGTTATCACCTTCACGTTGGGTGCTGTATTAAAATAGGACTAAATACTATTTTAGTATTTAGTAAAATATTACCCTACAAGTTGTGGAGAAGGGAACAACTGAAGGGAAAATGCCACCTTTCCTAATCCTTTGATGGCTTTCATTTTAATCTCCTACACTGGAGTGAATACAAATCAGTTCAGAGCCACCTCCTGCTACCGCTTTGAGCCCACCTGCACCTCTGCCTCTCCGAGAAGCATGCGACCATTAACAGGAGGGGTCATTGCCTTTTCAAGGGTGGTGAATTATGCTTGCTCTCCACTATCCCTGTACCTTAGGCCCTGATAGTGAAATGAGAAAACACATGTAATATGCTAGGAAAACAAAGGGAATAGCTGCAGAAGAAAAATTTTATGGAAAACATGTTTTCCCCTATAAAAGATAAGAGAAATAGCAGGAAAAGAAATACATTCTCTGATGTCAGGAGTAAAATGAAAACAAACAGCACTCTATTATGAACGATGAGGTTTAAAAGTTCTTACCTGGGCCTGGAGTAGTGTTCACCAGGAATGAAGAAAAGAGAGAGAAACAAAGATAAATTAAACAAAGATAAGTATATTTGATGAGAAGAACTCATGTTCTAAGTTTCAAATATTACCCATATATAAAAGGTGGGGGTTTTTTTGGTAAATGATTAGAACATCTTTCTTAGACCTTAAAAGAGAAAATCCAATTCCTTATTACTGTTTAAAATTAAGATACACAAATGAGTACTGCAAACAGCAAGTTAAGGAAAGGATTTGATGGGCAGGATGAAGAAATCAAACTGAGTAGACATCAAAATACGTATCATGGGGAATCAATATATGACTGCAAATATCTTGTGGTTCAAATTGTGAGTGGACTATCTATAGATTGATTGACTGACTGATATATTGATTTTAATCCATCCATCCACCCATATTTCTGAGGAAATGGGGATTTGCTTTCTCAACTGGAAAATGGAACCTCAGAGATCATTTCCAAGGCAAAGTACGACTTAATTACTGAGGAACGTATAACTGCAGTAAAAATCTATATGATTTACAGTTTTCAACACTTACACAAACCTTTGCATATTCTTTACTTTCCTAACATTTTACTAACAAATAAATCCCTAGAAGTTTCTATTTTTTAATGTAGAACATTTGTGCTCAAAGTCAAAGATTCAGGAATCTGTTATTTCTTGTTTTAGCTTTGATTTTTCCATTGTTGATGTCTCAATATACCACCAGTAGGCTGATAACAAATACTCAGATGTCCTTATCATACTCTGCATTAGATTATATCAGAGTGACAGAGAAATGGCTTAGGTTGAAGAGTTTTTAAGCAAGGACAACTTGGTACAACCAATTTGAACTTCTTCAAATTCACTATTTAAAAAATGCTAAGGCAAACATAGCTCATTTTAATTTTAAAATCTGGCTGTTCACATACACACTAAAGGTATGAAAATGTGTAGAATTTATTTGAATCATGGATAAAAATTTATTAAAATTTAAATTTACTATTGGAAATTCAAGATTTCAAAACTTGCAGAATAATATTCTTTTGTATTATAAACATTACATTTCCGTTATTCTGTTTAATCGGGGTCATGCATTTTCTTCTTTGGAAATATTCATTAGGACAGAGAAACTCGATTACCAGTAGATGGCAGCAGTGCAGTATATTATTCACCTTCAGTTGTATTTAAGGGCAAGTTCAGCAATTTTTCTTTGGGGGGAAAAAATCAACATTCTTTTGGCGTCCTTTCTATGCAATTTAATTCTCCACTTTCTTGGCCCTTAATCGATTTATTCAAAAGTTATTTTTATTTTCTCTATAATTTACTTTTATTGTGATGAACAAATTTAGATTAATTTGGGAAGGCAAACGTATGGGTAATTTGGGGATTAGAAAATCTGTGTGTGTATGAGACATACCTACATATTTCAGGTTAGTTCATACATATGAATTGGTTCATTTGTGACTTAAATTTAAACATACCTCTTAATACCTACACATATTGTGTGAAATTCACTCTTTGTTAATTCACATGTAGGCCAAACATGGCAATAACTGTCTGATGAATCTTATATTACATTAAACTAGTCACAATTCTCCCCATTGGACATTTTATTTCCAATGGAACATGAGTAACAGCTATGAACTGCCGCTAACAAGGTGTGTATCCGAAGTCAAAGATCCACATAAGACTGAAAAGGCCAATCACCAAACTGATAGATTAACATACGGTTACTTTGATGCCATTTTTATATTTCTTTTTTCTTTTTTTAAAATTTATTTATTTTATTTATATATGTTTATTTTTGGTTGCGTTGGGTCTTTGTTGCTGTGCGTGGGCTTTCTCTAGCCGCAGTGAGCGGGGGCTACTCTTCGTGGCGGCGCAAGGGCTTCTCATTGCGGTGACTTCTCTTGTTGCAGAGCGTGGAATCTAGGTGCACTGGCTTCAGTAGTTGTGGCATGCGGGCTCAGTAGTTGTGGCTTGCGGACTCTAGAGCATAGGCTCAGTAGTTGTGGCGCATGGGCTTAGTTGCTCCACGGCATGTGGGATCTTCCTGGACCAGGGCTCGAACCCGTGTCCCCTGCATTGGCAGGCGGATTCTTAAGCACTGCGCCACCAGGAAGTCCAGTATATTTCTTTTTTCTTAACATATTTCATATTGATCAAACTTAAGTAAATGTACAGAATATATTTCCCAATTTTAGACCCAAACCCATACACTTTCTTTGATTTTAATTTATGTACTTGGTAACTGAGATGTCTTTTCTGAGAGTCTAGCGGATCTATCAGAAAAAGACAATCTTGATCTCAGTGCACAAATTATTGTATAATAACAGATTAAATACCTTAACAGTATTTCAAAAGTAGATTTCATTTTTATTTCCATTGAATTATATTAATATGCATATACATATAATACAATGCACTAAATAAATCTCTTGAGAATACAGAGATCATCTATCTGATTTGGGATTTTAATAATTTACTCAGGCATTCTAAAGATAAAGTGGGTCAAATTTCTTATTCAGGGTCTATTATTTATTCTTCTCTATTTTGGATTAAAAAAAGATTATCGTGCACCTAGAAAATATTTTACAATATTCCCAATGGTAGAAAATACCTGGTTGACATGGTCCAGTTTCGGGCATGGTCTTCCTCCATTATAGGGTTTTTCACGCAGCCATTTAGACCGAACCTTCACGCCACTCCCACAGGACTTGCTGCAGCGTGACCAATTGGACCACTCACTGAGCTTGCAGTCTGAGGGGCAGGGGATGATGCAGGCCTCTTCAATGTAACCTGAGTGGAGGAAAATGAGACAAGAGCCATCTCGTCCACATGTCACTTGCCTATTACTACCCACCATTCTAGCTCATTTAGAAGGTCCAAGTTTGACTTGACAGCAACATGCAAATGCAGAGATGTCTCTGTCGTTAGGGACTCAAATTAAATTCTGCAGGAAAATAACACATACATACAGTCACTCTGTTAAAATAACAGCTGAGCAGCTGTCATATGATCTGCTTAGGATTCACGCTCACCATATTTCAACATTTCTGACTTCCTGACAGCTCGTGTTTAATTGACAATAACCTGTCTGCTGCCATATCATTCTCATGTGGCCAGACTGATACATTAAAAAAATTTTAACAGTTTTCTGTAAAATCCTATCTGTTAATGTCACACAAGTTCAAGTGGCTGAGTCCATGCAACATTCTTCCTCAAGAAGAAAGCCAGACCCTCTCAACCAATATTCAGAAGGAACCATTTAACTTAGCACCTTATGGTTCCCCTTCATTGAAAATCAAGTCTGAGGAAGAAAAATGAAGGATGTTAAATAAACAATGCCTCATATTTTTATAGTGCTGTCAATTTCAAAGCACCTTCATACCTTGTATTCATTTGATTCTCTTGCAGATATTATAAACGTATTGGGCATGTACTGATGCTCTACTGGACAGATAAGAAAACAAATACAGAGAGATAACTGACAAGTGCAAGGTCACACAGTAAGAGATAGGGATAGGATTTCTGAGGTCTAGTCTAGTACTCATTCCATCAAATCTCACAATTAACTTAAGAGTCTACAGATTTAGAGAAATGGGAGCATTTTCCTTGACATTTCCTTGACATTGGCATTCCTTGACATTCCTTGACATTGGCATTTCACAGTATCAGTTTATCACTGTTGTTCTCAAGGTAAGTAAGTGGAAAGAGCAAAATTCCTCTGGTCAAGAGTCGAATGTTGTCGTCTGTCATACTATGGGGAGTGGTTGTTCTTGAAACAAGAAAACACTCTGCTCTTACCATTTTACATCAACATCAAAGATTCGATTTTGAAAATCATTATAATGTAAACAACTTATACTAGGAACTCTAGGTAGATTTTTTAAAATTTTATTGAGACACAATTTATACACTATAAAAATCAGCTCACGTTCTGGTCTTTAATAGAGTCTGAGTTATGCAACCATGACCACCATCTAGTTTCAGAACATTTTCATTACCACAGAAAGAAACCCTATACCTATTAGCAGTCATTTCCCATTTTCCCCTCCCTGGCAACCACTAATCTACTTTATATCTCTAAGAATTCACCTATTGTTAACAATTTATAAAATGAAATCAAATATTATGTTTTATGATTGGCTTCTTTCATTTAATGTAATGTTTTCTGGATTTTTCTATGGTATAGCATGTGTTAGTACTTCATTCCTTTTTATTGACCAAATAGCATTCCATTGTATAGATATATCATATTTTTTTATCCTTTCATCAGCTGATGGACATTTTAGTTGTTTCCACATTTTGTATATTATGAATAATGCTGTGAATATTTGTGTACAAGTCTCTGTATGGACAAGCTTTCAATTCTCTTGGGTATATATCTTGGAGTGTATTTAACTTTTTGTAGAAGTACCAAACCGTTTTCCAAAGTGACTGTGCCATTTTACGATTACACTAGCAAGGTATGAGTGTTCCAATTCCTACGCTTGTCAAAACTTATTATGTCTTTTTTATTTTAGTGTCCTTTGAAGAAAAAAAGTTTTAAATGTTAATGAATTCCAATTTATCTATTTTTACTTCGGTTGCTTGTGCTTTGATGTCCTATCTAGGAAACCATTATCTAATCCAAGGACGTAAAGATTTACACCCATTTTTTTCTTCTAAGAGTTTTATAGTTTTAGTTCTTATATTTAAGTATATGCTTCATTCTGAGTTATTTTTGTATATGTTAAAACATAGGCAGTCCAATTTCATTCCTTTGTATGTGATTCCCAAGTTACCCCAGGCCCATTTGTGGAAAATACTATTTTTTCTACAGTGAATTGTTTTTGTACCCTTGTTGATAATCAGTTGACTATAAATGTAAGGGTTTATATCTGGTTTCTAACTATCACTCCACTGATCTCTATACCAGCACCACACAGTCTTGATTACTGTCACTTTGTAGTACGTTTTGAAATCAGGAAGTCTGAGTCCTCCTTTGTTCTTTTTCTTCCAAGAAAGTTTTGGGTCCCTTACATTTCCACATATATCTTTGAATCAGCTTGTCAATTTTTGCCCCAAATGGCAGATTTTGATAGGAATTGTGTTGAATAGTTTGATCAATTTGGGAGTATTGCTATCTTAACAATCCAGGTACATGGAATTTCTTTCCATTTATTTAGGTATTCTTTATTATTAGGTATTCTATATATTAGGTATTCATTATTTAGGTATTCTCTGTTTTGTAGTGTTTAGTGTATGTCTTGCACTTCTTTTCTTAAACTTATTCCTAAGTATTTTATTCTTTTTATTCTAGACAGATTTAAAAGAGAGCCAACAAATACTGATTTCTTTTATTACAGTGAAATAAGACCACCTAAAAACCAGTATGACAGATCTAATCTATAAGCTTGTGCCCAAAGTGTCCTGACTTGATACAGTGTTAAAAAGCTAGCCAACTTACTACATAGTATATCCTAGCCTTGCTTTATAAATTACCTGGAACACATGTTAAAAGTACAGGTTTCTGGCAACCCCAGACATTACAATACAGTTCCTTTGGGATAGTGCCTGATTTTTGGAAATTAATATATTTTCTTGTGTTTATTCATCACTCCCTCTCTTTTTAATTGAAAATTTTCTTATTAAGTTAATTGTAGACACATATATTTGTAAGACATAATATAGAGAGGTCCCCTGCATACTTTCCCCAGTTTCCTACAATGGTAACTAAAGTATAATTTCAACCCAGATACTGAGATTGATACAATCCATTGAGTTTATTCAAGTTTCACCAGTTTTACTTGTACTTATTCGTGTGTGTGTGTGTGTGTGTGTGTGTGTATGTGTGTGTACAGGACTGAAATTAAGGAACTCTGTTGTAAGACACAGGAAGAATCAGCAAAATCTGGGTGAGAAGTAGTTTTCTGGTATATTTCTCTCTATATTATCTTCTATATTTTTGTCAAATATACACATCACCTGTTTTAAACTTATTGTAGTCTCGATACACAAAAGTGTATCTTTCAAAAGTATAAAGTTCACTGAACACATGCATGAAACCCACACTACTCCAGAACCCTCTTTTGTGTTGCCTTCCAATCACTACCTCTTCTCACATGGGCAACTACTACCCTGATTTCTTACAATCTAGAACTGTTTTACTTTAAAAAAATTTATGTAAATGGAATCATACAGCACATACCCATGTGTGCTAGCCTTCTTTCACCCTACGTTGTGATGTGAGATTCATCCATAATGTTGCATGCTGTTGAAGATTATTCATTCTAATTAATGTATATAGTACTCTACTGTGTGACTATATTATGGTTTTTTAATTCATTCTATTGTTTGTGAGCATTTGAGTATTTTTCAATGGCAAGCTATTATCAACTGTACTGCTATGAACATTCTAGAACATGTCTCTTGGTGAACATACATATGCATTTCTGTTAGGCATATTCCTAGGAGTGAATTTGATGCCTCAGGGGATACGCATATTATATCAGCAAATTGTAAGTATAAAAGAAAACTTTTTAAAAGATGGGATCATGAATTTGGTATGAAGAGCAGGATGCAATGAAAGAATGCTCAAAAGTGGGAATTAGTCTCAGAGAATCTTCAAGGGGGCAGATGTGTCAGCCGGGGCTTTGCCAGCTGTGAGATACTGAAGACAGAAAGAAGATGTTAATGTTGAGTTTTGAATGTACTTCTGATATTGAAGAAGACTTTTGGAGTATTGATAATAATCAGAGGGAAGTCCAACAGAGAACTGAAAAAGTACTTTACAATAGTGTTTACCAAAATTTTGAAAAGCATAACTGTTCTTCAAACAGATTACCATGACCTACTTAAAGCTCATACTTTGACTTTAAGTATGGTTTGAGGTGGGAAAACAAGCCCAGCTCACTATTTTGAGTTAAAATATGGAGAAAAACATTCTCCTTTTCAATCAACACAGCCAGTAAATAAATCTATAAAGTGTGCGACACTTAAAAATGTAACTCCTGATAGGGCCAGTAATAATTTGTGTTTCATAGGAATAGTTTAAGAAATGGAATCAAACTGTACAAATGTCTAAAGTCACTTCCCAATGAATGCCATCTGTAACCAGATTATTTAATGTTTGTAAAAGACAATGAATTAAGAAGAAATCCCAACTATTTCCAAATATTATCAATAGCTTAGTTAAAGGACACTAGTATTTCAAAGGTAATAAATTATTGAAATATTTCTAGAATTGCATTTTCCACCTTGCTAAAGATCAAAATGACTGCAAAAGTAAACCTCTAACCTTTTTGTTATTCAGTAATTATAGTTGAAAATAGAATCACATGAGTTTTCATGTCACTACTTCAGAGTAACAGATAAATGGAAATTCTTTCTTTCCATCTTATCTGTTGAAGTATTACGGCATTGGTGAAATATGTCATGTCTGACTTTAGTCTGATTCACACTGTATTTTCAAGTAAGCAGATATAAAATTTATATGTTGGATCTTCCAATAGAGTATTCCAGAGGACGTCTCTCAAATAAAACTCAATCTATTAAATTGTTGAAAGATACAAATTAGGCACTGAGATAAAGACAAAACTGCAAAAGAGTATAATGCTTAGCATTCCATTTTAATCTTCTAGTGTGTAACAACATTCAATAATTGCCTGTCATGTTTATCTAGTACAATTAAAACCCTTAATGCTACTAGTGAACTGCTAGATAAGCATTCCCCTGTCTTCTCTGCTAAGATCATTTGTGAGGGCAATTAACACCAAACAATCATGGGGGATAGAAGACAGAAGCATTTGAAGCGTTTTAAGGCTAAATAAACTGCTGGCATCTTGTAGCAATTTATGGCTCCTGAGGAATGCTGGAATAAAATAAACGACTTCACAATTAGGGTGTTAAAACTTTAGTAGCAGGCTTCCCTGGTGGCGCAGTGGTTGAGAGTCCGCCTGCCGATGCAGGGGATACGGGTTCGTGCCCCTGTCCGGGAGGATCCCACATGCCGCGGAGCGGCTGGGCCCGTGAGCCATGGCCGCTGAGCCTGCGCATCCGGAGCCTGTGCTCCGCAACAGGAGAGGCCACAACAGTGAGAGGACCGCGTACCGCAAAAAAAAAAAAAAAAAAAAAAAACCTTTAGTAGCTCAATACTGAACCTGACACATGGAAAAATCAAACTCGTGGCTTCTGATTGTATTTTTTGTATCTATATCTATTCTGATGGCTGCTTTCAGGTTGAAATGAATACAGAACACTAGCAGGCTTTATGTGGCAACCAGAGGACTTACTGCCTTTGACATATATCCAGTCAGCTCATTCATTTGAATTATAAATGTGCAGATAAAGTAGCTTTCAGCAACCCTGACGATTACTATATTGTGCTGTAGAAAGGTGCACTGTTGATAGATTAAAGAATTCATTTTGAAAGCACGTGGAAAATATTGGTTGGTTCTGATTTACAGCTGTGTGAATGAGCAACGCTGGCACTCTATCTGAAACATCTAGATTAATCTCAAAAGAGACCTGAAAAATCTCTCCTACTTAAATGTGTGTTATATGCACATGACTGCAATCGTGAATGAGAACACTTAGCTAGAACTTTATCTACTGTGGTCCCTGTGGATTTGAAAATACTGAAAAATATCATTTAAAAATATTTTCAAAATGAACAGAATATTCTTTTGTATATATATTAAGAACTGATAACTTGAAAAGCTACTGAAACTAAACTACTCTGTATATATCCAAACTCCTATAATTGACTGTTCTACCCAGATTCTTATATTCAATGTATGAAAAGTTATGAATCAACACTGGGCAATCAAAATTTTCATAGTGAAGTGTTCAGGTAAATTTATGTAACCGCAATGAAATGCTATTTCATTTATATTTATTTGTTTTATATATATATGAAGGCATATCTCTTCATATCTGCGAAATACAGATTTTCTCAGAACATTTCAACATTGTTTTTTTTTTAATAATTTTATTTATTTTTTTACTTTTGGCTGCATTGGGTCTTCATTGCTGCATGCAGGCTTTCTCCAGTTGTGGTGAGCGGGGGCTGTTCTTCAATGTCGTGCATGGGCTTCTCATTGTGGTGGCTTCTCCCATTGCAGAGCACAGGCTCTAGGTGCACAGGCTTCAGTAGTTGTGGCATGAGAGATCGGTAGTTGTGGCTCACGGGCTCTAGAGCGTAGGCTCAGTAGTTGTGGCACATGGGCTTAGTTGCTCCGTCGCATGTGTGATCTTCTCGGACCAGGGCTCGAACCTGCGTCCCCTGCATTGTCAGGTGGATTCTTAACCACTGCGCCACCAGGGAAGCCCTCAACGTTAGTTTTAATTGCTGTGGGATTTTGTAGCTGTTGCTATTCCAATACTGGGAGATTACCCAATGACTAGGCACCTTCAGATTCAGGTAGCATACCTATGTACGAGTTCACCATCAAGGCCATTTCTTATAGCAAACTCTAAAACTCTCTGCTGTATAACAAAGACTTTGGCTGGTCTGTTTCCCTGATTCCTGGGAGGCAGCCTCGAAGCCCTGAAATTTCCTGAGTGAGAGGAGTATCTTTGTTATTCTTGTTGGGCCTCTTGGACTACATGTGAAATTATGATAAGAAGATGTCTAAGGAAGGGGTATGATTATACCACCAAACCAAAGACCAACCATGTGTTTAAAAGGTTGGGACTTTAAGCCACTTGATATCCTCCCGAACTCTGGGGAGAGGGGATTGAGTTCAACTGTGTGGTCAATGATTCAACTGATGCCTACATAATATGACCCCCCAGAAAGCTCTGGATACAAAAGCTCAGCCTGGTAAAGCACAACCATGGGCCAAGAGGGTGATGCCTCCTAGCTCCATGGGGAGACAACATGGACGCCTTGTGTTTGGGACCTTCCCAGCCCTCGTCTATGTGTCTCTTCTATCAGCTGGTTCTGATTTTTATCCTTTTGCTATAATAAAACTGCAATTGTAATGGTGCTTTCCTGAGTTCTCTGAATCGTCCCAGTGAATTGTTGAACCTGAGGGGGTAGTGGGAATCCCCAAATCTGTAGCCAGCTGGTCAGAAGTGAGGTTGACGTGGGGACCCTGAAAGTGCACAGCTAGTGTCTGAAGTGAGAGCAGTCTTGTAGAGGACTGAGCCCCCTAACCTGTGAAGTTTGGCCCAAATCCAGGTGGTTAGTGTCAGAATTGCATTCTACTTTCAGATGTATATTTTATTAAAAAAGGAAGTAAACTTATTTATGAAAGAGCCCGTATCTATAGTTTACTTATTCAACCAAATTAAAACTTTGGGAATAATTACATACATTAAGGCATTTATGGACGTTTCACCCCAAATTTAACATTTATAACTTTAACTAATATTAAAATATTAACTAATATTAAAAATCAGAAAAACGTTCTAAGAACCCACTTTGGAAGTAGGGCTTTGTCAGCAATATAAACATCATATTTGATGGAGTGTTCAGATTATGGAATAACGGGAAATAAATTAACTTTGAAATTTAGTAGAGTGATTTTTTTTTAACTTGATCCAATGCAGGGCACTGTTCTTTCAGTCAACAAGAATCATATACTGACACTGAAGTATTTCCAAAGGATAATCTTTAAACACTAGTTTGCTGGATTCTAGTAAGTGTTAAACATAATTTTTATAAAAAGCATTCTGTGGTCAAATAAGTTGGAAAATTGTTGAGTTAAGCAGGTCTCTTCACCCCGAGCTTTCCTTCTTTTTTTTTTTTTTTCTGATATGAACTGTGAATCTCTAGGAGACTGACTCAGACACTGCAGTCTATGCTTATTAACTTTTTCCTATAGCATCTCACTGGACCAGTGAGAAAAAGATCAACAGATCATCATGATATGTTGTAATTATAATGCATTAAAACTGGATTCATGTTTTGAGCTGTACAGAGTTTTAATGTTTAATCGGGCCTTTTATGTCCATTTCCAGATATGGAAAAAAATGCAAAAGTCAACAAAACCCCCAAACTTAAGAAAGTTTCTTTTTAAATTATTTTATACCTTAAAGTTTTAAAGCATTAAAGGTCAAACCTATGGCAAACGGAGAGGAAACTTATGCCGATAAACTTCCTGACATTTTTTTAATGACTATTTTAAAAGACCATTTTGTTTTCTGTAAATTAACTAAAATCTCCTGTAAGGGCTAAATTGGCCTTCAATGCGACTACGAAGAAATGGGATAAACATGAAGAGTAACTACAAGTACAGATCTTCCTTTCAAATTTAACTTTAAAATGTCCACAGATGTGTTGGTGTGCTCTCAGGTTACTTTTGTTTGTTTGTTTCCTAAATTTTATTTAAGAATTCATACAAAATACTCCAGATAACTGAGTTTAAATCCTCATCGTCCTCCTCTTCTTCATCTTGATTAATCTGGAAGTAACGTAATTCGTAACTTTCTTTGCTGTTAGCAACTACGCGTAACCAATCACGGAGATTCTTCTTCAAATATTTTTTGGTGAGATATTTCAAATACCTTTTGGAAAAAGGCACCTCGGAAGTTACAGTGATCTTGCTTTTGCTTCTTTCGATTGTTACAATACCTCCTCCGAGATTCCCAGCTTTTCCATTCACTTTGATTCTTTCCTGAAGAAACTGCTCAAAATTGGCCGCATCCACGATTCCATCTTCTACAGGATGGGTACAGTCAAGAGTAAACTTCAGGACCTGCTTCTTTTTTTTGCCCCCCTTCACCACAAGCTTTTTCACTGGCGCCATCGCCGCAGCGGAGGCAGAAAAGGGTCAGGTTACTTTTTGAGCCCATTGATATGGCTTATGTCTAATATATAGTGCCTTCTTCATGCATTTACCAAAGAAAATTCCTTATGCATAAGCTTTACTCACTACATGACCATTCTGATGATGCTTTGAAGTAGAAAAAGACCTATGTTTTAAGACCTATGTTTTAAGAATGAGACTAAACTCAACTAATGGGACAGAGAGCTTTACAATTATTTTGGATTGCAGGACATTAATGTAACAGGAATCTATATGAGGGTCAGTATCTTTATGAATTATGAAACCTTGTAACACAAGTAATGAACAACTCTGTGATTATATCAATAACATTATCATAGATATCAGCAAGATTACCACTCCTAGCCATTTCACTAAAATTATTGTTATCCTTCCTTTAAGGCATTAAGGGGAAAACGGGGTCAGAGACCAACAGAAAGGATGTGGAGTAAAACATAATAGCAGAACTTGTTGATAAAGGCAAAGATAAACAAATTTTTTTGTTGCTGTTGCAAATAATGAATTGTTCTTGGCAGTTAAATTTATTTTAAGCAGTGAAACACTTTCTTCCTAAAAAGCTGGAAACCCAGTAGGTGTATGGGATATTCTGGAGGCTATGTTTGACAGCCTGGCCTGAGGGGCTCCATGGAGCCCAGTTTGAAAACCTTGTAAGTAAGTAACAGATGAGTTGAGGTCTCGGTGACATGGAGCACACAGAATCAAATGATAACACCAGATGTTTTTCCATCACACACGACACGATGGTAGCTGCAGGAAAATTTCCAAGGAAAGTCTCCCTCATCACCTCTATAGTCCCCCTTCAGGGATCCTGTCAGAAAATAATGCTGGTATCCACACCTTATTTAAATTCGACCCTAGACACCTGCTTTCTTTTTGTACCCACATATCCACAGTAGCCCCTTCTTTATTTCCCTGGTTCTTTAAACTTGCAACTGCTACTTCAGGAAAAGTCTGTTCCTCACTCCCTGCCTGTCTTTTACATTTGAAAGGAAAAAGATCTCAATTGTGAATGATGACTGCAAAAGCAACACTAGCTTCATCTGTACTATCAAATGAAAGATTTAAATTCTGAAATGAATTAGACATTAAAAAAAAAAACCACCAACTGAAAAAGCTTTTCAGAGAAATCAGAAGTCCATTTCAGCTTATTTACAAAACTCTATTGCCTTTTCTCCCTGGTTTAATCAAACATGCTCTTCCTCAAATACAAGCATCCACTACGATAGGGCACAATTTCTCACTCAATTTTGTTTCTAATTAACCTCTAATATTAAACTTATATCATCTTCTATAAAATCCCATTACAAAAAGGAATACATTCCAGGTATATTATGGTTGAGTGGTCATGTAGGTTATCCTCAGAATCTACTCTCCTCATATTCATAATTATTTTTATCAGATGTACCCTGAGTTCCACAATGTCTTAAAAGTACATGCTCTTGAACTAAAATCTACTTGTAGACTGAGTACTCTCTGAATTTTAAAAAATTCAGTTGGGCACTTGTACCACAAATACACCCAGGATGTATTCCTTTTCTAAGTTTTGTTGATGGTCTTTTTTTGTTCCTGTAAATTCTAATAGAAAAAAAACCCCACACCTGTGGCATGTATACTAGAATTTATGACCGAATAAGGCAGCATCTGGTATTTACAGTTCCTTACAACATCAAGGGATATCATTTAAACATGATACCTGCTTTAAAATCATCCACATCATAACTTTGGGAGGCTGGTGAAATAGGATGTAGATCGCTTAGGCTATTAGGCAGTAATGTTAAATGCTGCCATATAAGGGTCAGCTATAGTTATAATATGAAAATATTTTATTAAAAAGCTTTTGTTTCACTTGTAAAATTTGTAGAGCTTTCTTTTTATCGTAATACTTAGTGCTGTAGTGCAAACTACCTATGAAACAACCTGTAAGAAAGACTTTGAGTGCCAGCAAGGGTTTTACAAAATATCAAGTTTTAACGGGCATACTTTGAATCCTACAGATGCTTAGAAAACCAACTGATAAAGCCATTCATTAATGTTCAGATGGTTCTCTGTAATATCATTCATAAACATACTAGGCAAAGAGAGAAAGCTTGGAAGAATTAATATAAATCATTATATTTAAAACTTAATGTCAAAGGGAAATTAATCTTACACTAATAAGGCATTAGACAAACTATGCTGAACAATTCAATAGTGACTACAGTTAAAAGACAAACTAAAATAATTAAAAGGGTGTAATGTGACCTACAATAAGTAGTACAGCTGCTTAAATGCCGGCATGATGGTCAAATGGCAGTACAAAGTACTGAGAATTGTAGAGTCGTTGGATCATGAATACTGAGTGCACAAAGTCAAATGCACACAACACTTCAATATAATGTTGTATTCTGCTTATGAACAGAGCAGTAAATAACCCAGAGCTCTCTCTTATTTCTCTATCTGAACCAAAAAACTTTCCTCAGGGCAATCATTAACTTGCCAATATCCTTTCCACAGAAGATCCTATAGACTCATTCTGTTTTCAAAATCATACCTACACAGGCATTCACTTTATAAAGACACATCTTTGCAAATTTCAAAAGTTCCCTTATGTTCTCTTGCCCACAGCGGGTAAGCAAGTGAACTATCTCCTGTGAGATATTTTGCCTAAGACAGCATCACATTGTGATCCTCTAGGAAATGATCTTCACAGGTCTTTCACACCAAGGTTAATAAAGCTTATGATCCCTACCAAACCCTGTGAGTGTCTGCATGACCCAGAGAAGTAGTCTTAAACTTTAAATGTGTTATAGAACCCCCTGGGGATCTTGTCAGAATGCAGAAGGTCTGCAGTGTAGGTTGAATTTTGCATTTCCAATGGTTTTTCTGTGATGCCTATGCTGCTCTTCTGTAGATGGCTTTCTGAGTAAGAAGGGTTTAAATCCTAGCTGGCAAATGACAGCACAGGCTGACAGCCTGTTTTTGTAAATAAAGTTTTACTGGAACATAATTGTGTAATTCACTCATATATTGTCTATGGCTGCTTTCATTCTATAACTGCAGAATTGGGTAGTTGTTACAGAGACTTTTTAGCCTGCAGAGCCTGAAATATTTGCTATCTGGCCCTTTAGGAAAACATTTGGTAACAAGTCATCTAACCAAATAGCTGATTCTTGAGTTTCCTCATGGATTCTCTAAATTGGTATTTGATAGGTATCAAAGCAACATATTACTTTTAGGCGATAGGAGACCTATGTATATTAAACAGCAGGGGCTCAGGAAGAACAGTCATATCAGATAGGCCTTTCTGCTTACTTGATGTTAACAGATGATAAAATATCACAAATAAAATTAAGTTCAATTTTAGAATATCTATTGATAGTACATTATGGCTTAAACTCCCTATAAGGAAGAGCAAAGACAAATTTGCTGAGAGTAAAGACTGAAGAGAAGTGTCTGGAAGGAATTATGTAACTCAAAGAGCTCAAGACTTCAGCATCTGACATTTTTACACTTTATCCAATTTGCCTTCAAAGTGTGCCTTTGAGATAAATCTAATAGAAATGTTATTCCTTATTTTCTCAAGGAAAGATGAGTGGACACAAAGAGAATTAAATGAACATTCCATACTCCCAATTAAAGTTGTAAACACAGGCTGGGAAAAAGCAAGTTGTCACAATTACTAATATAAACCAAGAGATTAAGCTGTTGTCCAAATCTGGTGTTGTACAAAGCAGGCAATTCTGAACAATAAGCTTTAAACTGGAATAAAGAGACTTACCAATATCGATATTACTGGACTAATTCAGTGGAATGGGTGTGTGACTATTATTTCTTCTACCTACCAATTAGTAGGAGGAGAGAAGCATAAATATTTGATGAATATCATATAGAAAGTTTGTGGCATGTATATAGTTTATTCCAAAGATCTTAGTTGTTCTCAATGATCTGTTTGATTATATTCCAGAACTGTGACACAGAGGGAAGGACACCGTCCGGAAAAAAGGAAGTGTCCAAGCCTGATTGTGGATAAAATACAGCTACAAAAATTCTCTCCACCTCTTCACTCATTCATTCATTCTACAAATATTTACCGAGCACCTACTACTGTTCTAGGTGTTTGGGATACATGAGTGAATAAAGTAGTCCAAGATACCCTCATCAATCTACATTTTTGTACAGGATAAAACATAAATAATAAATACAATAAATGAGTAAATTATATGGTATGTTATAGAGTGATACATGCTTTTGAAATACAAAAAGTAGAGCAGAATAAGGGCTTTTGGGAGATCTGGGTAGGATTGAGGGGCAGCATAATAAAATTCTATCACTTATGTTTAAATGAAAGTCTTGTATATGTGCACCTTGCATAAGCTAGGTTACCTCTAACATTCTTTAAAATATCAAGATTAAATGATATAATAAAAAAAGTTCCAGAAATTCTACCTCTTGTTCTGTGAAATTTTAGAAGTGATTAACTTGAGAAGTACCTAGTACTATGTGCCAAGGCAATCAATTTCTAGTGAACCAATTAATTAAGATCTCAGAGTATTCTAGCAGTAAGTAGAAAATGTGTAATTTGGTTTTTTAATGATTTATAATCTGTTGCTAATAGTGACACCATTCAAGATTTCATACCAAAAGTAAATATACATAATTTGTATTATGATATCAGGATAAATGCCAAAAATGTATTTATATATCAACATTTATGCAGGAACTACATTTAATACCATATATCAGGATGGATGAACACTTATGTGGCTCCCAAGGTATACTTTAAGATCTGATTTTTGTTGTATCGATATATTGCTTTTCAGTACAGAGTCTATTCTTATGAAAAATTCCAGACATAATAGAATTGTGCCTCGAGTTTCAGACATTAAAAAAAAAAAAAAGTGACCACATGGGAAATGACCTAAAATAATATACTTAAGCTGATGAAAGTCAAACTGTTTTATCAGTATAATAACTGATAATATGATCCACAGATGGATAACATAGATTAAGTAGAAATGCCATAAGGCCACTATTGAATAGGGTAGGGGATTAGTGTCTTTGTACTGCATGCACGTGGGGATCAATTTTATGTTTAAACTGAAAGCCGTAAGAGACTTTCTTGAAAGCCACTTTAAACCCCATTCCCACCATTCATCTGGAAGCTGCTTTGGCTGAGCAAAGGCAGTGCTCACAGAAACTGCAAGTTAGCGCATGCCTAGGATAGAGCATCAAAGTGACAGCACTCCACTATCACTATCGGCATTGACAGAACAGCAGCAGTAATTCCAAACAAATCAGGCAAGAGACACTCAATTTCCTCAGACTTTGAGTAAAAATGTTAGTAGACGCTAAAATATCCCATTAGACATCCATCTTAGATCAGATTTAAGGAGAAAGGAGTGATGTTGGATAGACACAAAGAACTAAACTGGAACAGTTCACTTAAACATCTTAGATCCTTTCACAAGCTCCGTGAAGTTCAGTGCTGCCAGGGACCCATCTTTTTTTCTACATGTGCTTTTCTTCTAGAATACACTACTGAATTCTTCATGCTTTGAACTGACAGTGCTAAGGCAGAAAGTCTACTGCCTTTGGCCAATTTCAGTTTTTCTGTACTTTTATTTTCTTCAAGGGATCAAACATTTTCGTGAGAGTCACAGGATATTTTTAAAGTTTTTTTTTTTTTTCTAAAAATAAGATTGACTCTTAAGTGTCTTACTGAAGCTCTCATGCATCTAATTAACAGGTCAAGGTAAAAGCGACAATATATGAGTCATTTTGAAAGCTCAAAGGTTATGTTAAAAACAAACGATTATCTTGGCGATTCACCAAGCATAACAATTTAAAATGCGAGCAAACACTTACATGCTACATTTCAGGAGAAACATTTTTAAAGTGATCTTCACTTTTACATTTTAATGACTAACTATGACCTTCTACGTTATTGTATCAGCTCAGAATGCGAAGTGCATTTACATTTTTCCTGGTATCTAATTAATAGCACCTATGTTATTTGATATAGAGAATAAAAAACTCAATTACTCTTACAGAAGTTTTTCAAGGCTTACTAAACTCTTTTTAGTTATTGTTCTAAATGCATGGAATAATCTTAAACATAGCAATGCATGCATGCTAAATACTTATATCTAGAGCTTCAACATAATGGACTCTTATAATGGGGGCTTATATCACTAGACTTTGATAAAACAGTAATTATGAGATAAGGTAAAAAATAAAAGTCAGGGTTTCTGAAAACTGTTTTGGGGACAGATTTAAGAGATTCCATAAATGTGTCACCATGATACCCCATAATGGCTTATATATGTGAGATGGTCCTCTTAGTTCATCTTGTTTTCTGAACCATATAATAAAACTGGAGGAGCACTGTTCCAACAGCAGAATTTACTTCAGCAAGGTGGTAACTACCATATCCCTCTCTCCCAGTAATTTAACTTATCTTTGTTAGGTCTCCTCCATGAAGAGAGGAGAATCACTGTCCAGTGTTTGCAAATATGTGACATCCATGATTCAGGCTGACCCACTGTAAACTGATCTCATTCCATAATAAAAGGACAGATACATTAACATAAAAGAATGAAGAAATATTGCTTAAGGCTGACTATATTATGATGTAGAACGAAAGAGTTCACTGCATACTCTGGTCAAAACCACTCTTTATAAACTTTGGGCAATTCAATTATTGTCACAGTATTTTAGCTTCTTTTTGATTTTTTGTTTGTTTGGAAATCAAAAGTTTCCAAAGTGTATGTCCCTTTCTCTATTTCTGTTTGTTTGGGCCAATCTCAGCTTAATGAGGAATAAATGAGATGTTTGAGTTTTCACCAACTGCAGCTTTCAGTCTTTCTCCTCTGCCACTTGATATCTTAGGCACATCACAAATCTTGCCAGTTCGGTTATTAAAAGTCTGTCTAGTTTAACACTTTATTCTCAAATTAAATTCAATCTTCTCTTCTCCTCCCTCCTTTTCTGTACACGGACTTGTGGGGATTGCTGAGCCTACTCAGTAGACTCTGCATCTGCCCCAAGGGAAGTTTCTGGCACCATTTTTGCCTACATGTAAGGCTTCCTTATCACCAACTTTGGGACTTAGTTGCCAACTTCTAGACAACAAGACAAGTGCCACCGAATGTCCTGTTACATATAAATGATATAGTAATACATACATAGCGGTGCCCCTAAGGTTCAATTTAGAACACACTCCTGTAAACTTTCATTTCTCTCCATTCTGATACACTTGCATTTCACCTCCGCCCCCAAAGACAGCAAATGTATAACAGTGAAGAAAAGTTGGATTACCGTGGCTGTTACATCTGGATGTCTCCACGAGCCTGCCATTTTGATCGTAGCATGCCATTGCTTGGTAACGATATCCTTGACCACATTCCTTGATGTCTCCTTGTACCTTCATTCCCAGCAACACTTCCACTTTCCCCTCTGGCAAAATGCAGTCTGACCAGTTCCCCACAGGCTGTGCATTATACTTGTCACAGGGACAATACTGCGTCTCAATCAGGGGGTACAAATGAGAATTTTTACATTTTTCCTTCTTTTTACTTTTTCCTGTGGAGAAAATTAAGTTGGAAAATATCATCATTAATATCAAGCATCCCTAAGTTTTCTCCTTTCCTAAACATCCTTTATTTTTAACTGTATTCAACAGTAGCCTATAAATAAATGCTATTTTCCCCCTCTGTAGTGCTTTCTATGTAGGCTTTTGTTAGCTCTGGGTGCTTTGCATAGTGAAATTTCTCTTATTTTCTCACTTAAAAATAGCCCATTTTGAATAAGACACTAACTGTTGTGCTGAATTTTACACTCCTCAAAATGATTAAAATCCTCTCAAATGATCATGTGCTTTCACTGACCAGGGAGTTTGAGGTAACTGCACAATTCTCTCCTTCATAACATGTGCAAAAATATGAAATGGAGAGAGAGAGTCACTGCACTGACCTGTACAGTTAAGTAACTCTTTTGTTAAGTCCAAATAGATGGTTTAGTTATACAGGATTACGATTCAGAAAGTGAGGTTTTTGCATTTACTTTTCTGATTGTGATTTTGCATCTTTCAGTATTTCTGAAAAATAATCACTTTGACATACTTGGTGATTAATGTAGGAAATAATAATAATCAAAATTAAGATATTTAATATCACAATAAAAATATTAGAAATGGTTTGTGAATAAATTGAAATAAATTCCCTTTTAAAATAAAAAGACCTTGAGTATAACAGTAATATGTGCCTGAAAAATATCATTATTTTAATTAGATCATAATTTATATTATGTCATATATGTTATATACTTTTAATTATACTGCATGTAACTAATTACATATGTTTTACATATATTTATCTCTAACTTTCATAAGCTGCCTTATATAATTTTCAACAGTTTTCATTATGACAGCTGGATCATTTTACAACTTTAAATTCTGAATACTCTACTAGCACCAATATTTTTAGGTTTCTTTTGCCACTGACAATATTTTTGAGTGCATCAGAGTTTAGTTCAATATGATGGATCCTGTTCCTGCTCGTTATATTACAGCTTTCTGTCATTGTGACTACCTTTTAAAATGTGTTTTCAGGTACAGAATTAATGTCATATTTCTCGTCTAGGATATGAAGGATAATCTGAGGCTGACAGTGAGAATGGCTTAAGAAAGTGAAGTGGCAACCTTTCCCCATGTTCCTAAAAAACTTTTCTCCAAGTACTTCACTGTCTGTAGGTAATCCACCAAAGGTACATGTTTAAACCAAAAATTAATCTACCGCGTATTGTATAGGGAGACAGAGTTCAGTTTTCAAGGCTGCTTTTTCTTTCTACTAAAGGTACATAATGCATCTGTCACTGCCAACTTACATCAAAATACGGCTCTGAATCCATTGCCGTATTCATGTGTTAGTATAACAATAATAATGCATATCTGTGCATTTTCCAAATACCTTGTCAGAACTATCTTGGCCTGACTTTTTACTGTGTTTTTCTGCCTTGACAAGTGTTGGCTTTGGCATCCCAATTATTCTTACCAACAATGGTGCGCTTTCTGGTCCTAACTGCACCACAGTCTCCACTGCAAGAAGAAAACTTGGACCAGCTGGTAAACTGACAGTCATCTTGGCAAGGAATCTGGCAGGCTTGGGTGAGGGCTGGCACGGGGCCTGCATACCGGAGACACTCATGGATACCAGCCTGTCCACCATCTTGCTTTCGACAAGTAATGGCTAAAGGAAAAGCAAAAAGCTGTTTATCATGAATCTGAATGTCTGTAATTACTCTGTAATTTAGGAATTAACCTAACATTTCTTACTCAGTCAAAGGAGTCCTCTTTTAATTCTTTATTTGCAGCAGAAATCTGGTAGGAGTGTTTTTAGTGATCACAGTAGTCATTAAATTGATCCTATAGGATTTTTAAAATAGCAGATAACCCTCAGACACACACACACACACACACACACACACACACACACACACAGAAGTTTTTATTAGATGCTGTTAAGGATTTCAAGTCACATGTGGAATATACTTAGAAATGAGTTAAGAGACAAATAAATAATACATGGGTTCTGCTAATAGCTTATGTTGAACTAAACATATTCATGGTGGTGCTGGGAGACACCCCATACCTTTAATAGTTGTTTTCATACCGTTGTCCACTCTGGGATTTCTATACAGAAAGGTCTTAATGGCAGCAAATTGGTTGGAGGGTTTGGGTGGAGAGAGAACACTTATGAAACTTGTGAAGCTCCATTTGCATAGAAAGCATGTTTTTGTTTTTTAAATTATGCTCAAAGTTTGTTGTGATGGCTTTGAAGTGGTTAGTAGTTAATGGGAGGAGGCGGTGTCAAAGTTCCCCACTTCCCTGTACAAATTCTTCACACGCACAAAGAACAACCACAAATTTAAAATGAAGACAAAAACTTTTAGCAATCTTAATCTATCACATCATAATTGACATTTCCAACAATTACATATGACCTCTCCAAAAATAGTCAAGTAATTTTGGTTTATATATATTATTTTCCCCAAGACATTGTTCTACTGAAGTTTTTAAACCAAGTCATAGTTTTATTATGTATTGAACATAAATGTAGAATTGCTTAAAGGTAACAGGTCTTAATGAAAAAGAGCAAGTGATGTTTAAGTTCTGTTTCTCCCTCAGCCATTTCCCACTGTTGGTTTTAGAAATACTTCATTTTTTTATTGAGGAAGCAGATGAAACATTTAGACCTCGGTCCTGAAGTTAAGTCTTCATTGGACTAGCTTAAATGGCCCAGTCAGACTGACTCACATGGGCACTTTCAGGTTTGTGCTCTAGGCTGACACTACAGCTGGTCTCTGCCCTGCTCAGAATTCTATCATCATGAAACTAAGATGAAGGAGCCTGGCATTTTGATCCTAAATTACAGTTAGTGCACACAGGGCCCCAGGTTGGACAAGACTCTCTGGATCTGTACACTAAAATTTAACACCCAGTAGTATAGGACTGTGTGATGGGGTGTGTACAAAGATTTAACAATTTTAGCAAAGGAAGCCTTTCTCTGTGTAGGTGAACACAACTTGTCGCAACTGCTGTAGGAAAAGTTACATAATTGTGCAAATGTAGGTGAAAACTCACCTATTTCTTAGCTACAGATATCTCTTCATTTAATATGCACAACACTGGAAGAGCCAATTTGTATGACTAGACAGGGGTCCCTGAATTTTACAGATATGAAAACCTGGTTGAGTGGACTGTGGGAGCCTTTAGGAAGCTTATGTGACAGGAAAAATTATTAAGTGCTCCAAAGAGACTCTCACCACTTGGGAGAGGAGTTGTCTGGTGCACTGTGGTTATCAGACCAGTGTAAGGTAGAGGCTCTCAAATCGAGCTGCAGATGAAAATCACCTGGATAGCTTTTGGAAGAATGTCTATGCCCTTGCTAGACTCCAACCTTCTGATTTAATTGGTTGAGGACAGGGTCCCAGGCATTAACATCTTTTTAAAGTTCCCTGATGATTCAAACACGCAGCAGCAGGTAGTGTGTTTCCACTGGCAACTGAAACACCTGGAATGCTGTTAAAGTTGAAGATTCTTAGATTCACTCCAGAGCTCCTGAATGATATCTCTGTGTGTGAGGTCAAGGAAAATGCATTTATTTTCAAGTTGCTCAGATGATCCTTATGCGCATTCAAGCTTAAGGCTTATGAGCCTGAGTATTCGAGTCACTAGGATATGTTTACCTGAGACTTGATACTAAAACTGAAGGTCCTTTGGTACCCCAATCTCCCTGGCACTGTGCCAAGCTTTGGGAAACAAAGGCTGAGCGTGTAGGAATGAACTAAGGGGAGCTTAAACTTGGAGTACAAGGAGTGGGCCAAAAACAGCATCCATGTAGCTTGGAAGAATGTTATCTGTGGATTGGCATAGGAGGAATCCATAAAATGCAGTATATTAATAAGCTGACGGGATTCTGCAATTCTCTCTACACTTGCTTAAACAGTTTATACATAGTAAGCTCTGATAGTTTGTGGGCAAAGTTGCCCAAGGAAGGATGGATAAAGAGGAAAATATGAGGCTTTTACTGATCAGAATATGTAGGAACCTCAAGAATGATTAATTTGGAAAATAAGAAATTTGGCCATCAGAACTCTAAGCTATGAAGAGGGTCACACTGTTTATAACTGAAAGAAAACTACAAAATTAAATTTATGTTCTTTGAAATAAGCCTACTTTTATCTAAGCATTCCAATTTGGTTCTCTGAAATAGAGACTTGACTATAAATCTTTTAAACTAATGAAATTGCCTTAAGTTCTCCATTAAGGTTTTCTCTCTAAGGTTCTCTTTTATAAATTTCATTTCATAATTGCTCCAACCATCGTCACATTAAGGGACACCAAAAAACCAAAATAAAATAAAGTAAAACCACTATCAATACAATTCCAGAAACTAATTTCTTCTGTGCAAATCTATACCATTTACATAAATCTAAAGCCTATATACCTGCCGTATGTAAAAATCTCAAAAAGTATCTCAAGTAGGTGAAAAGAAACGATGTGTAAAATTCCCAGATCTGTACTCAGAAACCCACTCAGCACGTCACTCCCCTTATCTGAGCATTTAGACAGAGTACCTGGAGTGAATTACTCATGCAGTGTGATCCAAACAAGTAGCAACGGTACCATTTGTACAATATATTGACGTTTATCACACATCTCAACTTGTTTCTATTCTGACTTGGAGGAAATACAACAATTCAAACACAGGAATGTAATCTGAAATGAACTTCCTGCTATTAGGGTGAAGAAAACATAAATGTTTGGAAAGGAAACCATCTGGTCTCTCAACTTTATAAATCTTAAAAATCATTTTTAAGACACTGAAACCAGGGTGGTTTTAACTGTAGAAAAGATGCGTCATCCTAAGCATGGTTTCCTTGCACACCAGAAAGCTACACATACCCAGACAATTGTAGTTGTATTTACAGGTGCAGGATGCATATCTTGTGTATAATGATTATGCAACTTTTTTTTGGGCTGAGGCCTTGTTAGGAAGAAGGGCCAAAACCCATGTTGCCCTATGGATGAATTACCATGAAAGCTTCTTAGTGAGGTCGGCATATATCAAAATAATTATTTTAAATTAAAATTCCATCTTTAATACTATGCTGATTATATCCATCTGTTTTATTTAAATTTTATTTTATTTATATGAAGCACAGAAGTTAAGGGTCACGGACAGGCTACTTCCAGCAGGCTGAAAACCTAGGAGACATTCATATGACTACTTTGTGGCTTACTTATAAATTAAGCTAGGCAAGCTCAACCCATCAATACTGAGGGAATGTTGGAAAGATGAGCAAGAAAGGCAGTTTCTTCAACAAATAAATGCTCTGAAAAAGGGAGCTCAAATTGTTAGATTAAAAGTGACTGAAGAAATATTCTAGCCAAATGCAATGTGGAGACGTTTATGAACCCTGATTTGAACAAACTGATTGTAAACAGGCATTTTTGAGACAATGGGGGAAAATTAAATGTGGTATGAATATTAGACATGGTATGAATTATTCAATTTTGTTTAGTGTTATAATAGTACTCTTGCTATGTTTAAAAATATTAGGTATTTATGGATGATGTATGCCTTACCTGGGAGTTGCTTTACAATACTCCAGCAAAATCTCTTTAAGGGTATGAGGAGTGGCAGATGACCAAGAGTGACAATATGTTAAAATCTGTTGAAGCTGTGTGAGTGATGACTACACGACTAGTATTCATTACCACAGTCTCTCTACTTTTGTGTATCTTTGAAACTTCCCATGAATTTAAATAAAAATGATTAATAAGTAGAATAAGTAGAGTCAATTCCAGAATGTTTTCATGTAAGTTGAATTTTGAGCTATGTTTTAAAGAGACTAATAAAGGTTCCTGAAATGAAAGGGAATAGATAACATTGGTTTGAGCTAAAAGAACATGGATATTTGCGTTATGCATATGTGAGTATGTAAATGGAAGGCTACCAATGCACCTCTGAAGTAAAATCTAATAGAATTCAGAATGGACTTGCTCGTCTTCATTTTCTTGAAGAGGAATGAAACACCCTTATTATTCAGGATGCACAAAAAGAAGGAGTTCTATTGGTCTGTGGACTGTCCTTCGGCATGCAAGACCATGTTGTCCTTTCGTTTGAATAATCAGAGTGAAATAAATGACGAGATCTAAAATGTGCACACGGAAGTTCATTACAGGAAACAGAATAAGATCAATGCCCGAGTGCAGTGAAAACTGTTGGATTATTTGTAACAAAGAGTTCAAGGAGCTCTGAGACCTTATTTATTAAACTGAGCCATATTAACACGGTTTATCCCACAGCAACAGCATCTGGGTAGCACTGCAGACTGAGTATGTTCACCAGACTGAGTAATTAGAGGAGTGATTTTTTTCCTATGGTGTTACAAAAAAAAATGACAATAGTGAGAATGAATCATGTGGAAATAAAAAAGAAAAAGCTTAATGTGAGTGGGAGCTAGTTACCAAGAGACCTAATTGTGCTTAGAAATAAGACCAAACCTATAAATAATGCAAGAGGGCTCCAGTTGTTTACTAGGTGGATTTAATGATCCTGGTCTTTCTCTGTGTGGAAGAGATTTTCACTGACAAGTTTGCCAAATTACACTTCCTAATTACAATTTGTGAATGTAACTCTGGCAGAAGGGAAGGAAATGTACTTTTCTTTCTTATTAATCC